CCTAAGCGAGGTATTGTGGGTTTGAGTCCTGCCTGGGTTAGGTGCATGAAACTTCGGCTTTTAGTGACATGAAGATTCACTCTTATCCAGCAGTGAATCGAAAAAGAAATGACTAAATCATGGCTGATGGTGATTAATTAATTTCACCATTATTGGGCTAATTAATTGATAATTACTCATGTATTGCTATTTCAGTTGGTAATAAAAAAGTAAAATATCTCATTTGATCCCATGTTTATCTTGCGCCTAACTTTGAAATTTAACTTGATAATGTAAGCATCATGCAGCCCTTGACTCTGGAAACACATTCCAAAAGCTTTGATTTAATTGAGTTATCATTCTGAACTTCAAGTTATTAGAAAAAATGTTGACAGGAAATGAAACGTGAAAAGAAGTAAAATGAACAACGCTAATTACGATACAACATTTAGGAAAAAGTACGATACAATTTTCATGGATCTCATATTCTACGACATATCTTAGTATAGTACTATAACGACAACTCTAACGAACAATTAATAACATTGTTCTTCACACAACCCCAGTGGCCTAATGGATAAGGCACTGGCCTTCTAAGCCAGGGATTGTGGGTTCGAGTCCCACCTGGGGTAGCTTATACAATAAATATACATTTTATAAGGTGAAGATTTATTCCACATGCAGTCATTCCACTAAGTTTACTAATCTGATAATATAATACATCATGCCACTGTGCCTTTAGAAGAGATATTTAAATCAGTGTATGTTGGTGACAATTATCAACATTGATTAAGTAGAGCAGACAAAAGGGGAAAATACATATTCATTTTTATAATTATTGTGAGTTTATTTAAGAAGTCTGCACAAAAGTCAGGTTTCATTCATGCTATACGTAGCCCCTGTGGCCTAATGGATAAGGCACTGGCCTCCTAAGCCAGGGATTGTGGGTTCGAGTCCCACCGGGGGTAGCAGAGCTGTGAATGTGAATTTTGTAAGGTGAAGATTTATTCAACCTGTGGTCATTACACAAAGTTTATGAATCTGGAGAGTTTTAAATAGGCGTAATTTTGTGACAATTATCAACCTTGATTGAGTAGAGGACAAAAAGGGGAAAATACATATCCATTTTTACGTTGTGAGTTTATTTAAGACGTCTGTACATAAGCCAGGTTTTCATCATTCTACATGTATCCCCTTTGGCCTAATGGATAAGGCACTGGCCTCCTAACCTAGGGATTGTGGGTTTAAGTCCCACTTGGTGGTAGTTGAGAAAAAGTTGTTCATTTTGTAACATATAAATGTTAAGTTTATGAATCTGACAATGAGAATCGAATGTGACACTGTGCCTACAGAAGAGAGTTAAAAAAATATTTGGTGACAATTAGCAACCTTTATAAAAAAAGAGCAGAGCGGACAAAAGAAGAAAATATATAACCATTTTAATAATAATTGAGTGAATTTAGAATGTCTGCCCATTAGCAAGGTTTTCGTCATGCAGCATGTAGCCCCAGTGGCCTAATGGATAAGGTACTGGCCTTCTAAGCCAGGGATTGTGGGTTCGAGTCCCACCTGGGGTAGCTGAGCAACAAATGTACATTTTGTAAGGTGACGATTTATTCCACATGTGGTCATTACACTAAGTTTACGAATCTGATAATATAAAACATCATGCCACTGTGCCTGTAGAAGAGAGTTTTAAATCAGTGTAATTTTGTGACAATTATCAACATTGATTAAGTAGAGAGGATAAAAAGGGACTGGCCTCCTAAGCCAGGGATTGTGGGTTTGAGTTCCAACTGGGGTAGCTGAGCAATGAATGTACGTTTTGTAAGGTGAAGATTTAGTCAACATGTGGTCATTACGCGAAGTTTACGAATCGGATAATGTAAAACATCATGCCACTGTGCCTTCAGAAAAGAGTTATAAATCAGTGGACGTTGGTGACAATTATCAACATGGATAAGGCAGAGGGGACGAAAGGGGTAAATATACATCAATTTCTTTTTTATTATTGAGTTTAAATTTCGATTTAAAGCTTTCGTGACTGCAGGGATTCAGATTCTTGGTTCTTTCGGTAAGTCACGTAGAAGGGACTTTACCGAAAGAACCAAGAATATTGTGAGTTTATTTAAGAAGTCTACACATAAGCCAGGTTTTAATAAAGTGTATGTAGCCCCAGTGGCCTAATGGATAAGGCACTGGCCTCCTAAGCCAGGGATTGTGGGTTCGAGTCCCACCTGGGGTAGCTAAGCAATACATATCCTTTTATAAGGTGAAGATTTATTCCACATGCAGTCATTCCAGTAAGTTTACTAATCTGATAATATAATACATCATGCCACTGTGCCTTTAGAACTTATATATAAATAAGTGTACGTTGGTGAGAATTATCAACATTGATTAAGTAGAGCGGGGAAAATACATATCCAATTTTATAATTATTGTGAGTTTATTTAAGAAGTCTGCACAAAAGTCAGGTTTTCATCATGCTATACGTAGCCCCTGTGGCCTAATGGATAAAGCACTGGCCTCCTAAGCGAGGTATTGTGGGTTTGAGTCCTGCCTGGGTTAGGTGCATGAAACTTCGGCTTTTAGTGACATGAAGATTCACTCTTATCCAGCAGTGAATCGAAAAAGAAATGACTAAATCATGGCTGATGGTGATTCATTAATTTCACCATTATTGGGCTAATTAATTGATAATTACTCATGTATTGCTATTTCAGTTGGTAATAAAAAAGTAAAATATCTCATTTGATCCCATGTTTATCTTGCGCCTAACTTTGAAATTTAACTTGATAATGTAAGCATCATGCAGCCCTTGACTCTGGAAACACATTCCAAAAGCTTTGATTTAATTGAGTTATCATTCTGAACTTCAAGTTATTAGAAAAAATGTTGACAGGAAATGAAACGTGAAAAGAAGTAAAATGAACAACGCTAATTACGATACAACATTTAGGAAAAAGTACGATACAATTTTCATGGATCTCATATTCTACGACATATCTTAGTATAGTACTATAACGACAACTCTAACGAACAATTAATAACATTGTTCTTCACACAACCCCAGTGGCCTAATGGATAAGGCACTGGCCTTCTAAGCCAGGGACTGTGGGTTCGAGTCCCACCTGGGGTGATGTTTTTTTTTCTATCAACAATCCTCCAATAAAGTACATTTTAACATGAGAGAAAAAAAATTCGCTCCACTTCAACCTTGTGGATTCAATAATTCGGTACTCGGAGATGGGTTTCCAATAAGCGTGGATTTGGTTCCTCCATAGGGTATAGAATCAATGGGAATATTCTATTGAAGTGGAACAAATTCGTTACCCAATGTAGCAGGACTGCTCAATAGTGGCTTCAGAATTCTTGATCACAGGAGACAAAGTAAACACTGCTTATCTGAACTTTCATAAATGTAAAAAACACACTGAATTCATATGGCAGTGTAATGATAAAATGAGATTATTAAAACAAAATGATCATTATTATTATTATGATTGATGCAACGTATACTGTGACACAACTTCGGGGTGAGTGGGCATTTAAACACCTTCCATTGCAGGAGTCATTTAGCATTTTTCACAAAATTCATGTGCACCAACCACTGCAATGATCTCTGCATTTTACAAAACAAAATGTTATTTGACAAGACGATGATCACAGTTAACTAGGCAACTTTCTAATCTCTTATCTTACCACATCCTCTAATTCAAGTGTGTAATTATGAAAAGTGTGACTCACTCTTTACCCATAACACAAATAACCAGAGTACTAATCAATGTTAATATTATGGGATTTTCTGAATAAACATCGATGACTTGGTTGCAGTTCATGAAATGCTCTACACTTGAGACCCTGATTTTTCTTTTAGGTCAGAGCTACGATTTAATCCCAGGATCTCAGCATAGATGCCTTTGTGTTGTGCTTTGGTTATAATATGTATGTATTGCTGCGCCAATGAACATGTCTTTGGCTATCACTCATTAGGGAAGTTTTTTTCCCACCTTCAACGATATTTACGCCGTGACAAAACTAACATCTTAAAGGCAACGCAAGTGAGAGTGAAAAACTTCTGTTTATGCACTTTAGTTCTTAAGTGATTAAATACAGTGATTTTCCTAGTCATTACGTTATTAAGGCCAGGTTGTGTTCCTTAGTTAATAAGCTATCATATCCAGACTATTCCTTAGTTATTACTTCATTCTAGCCATAATTTACTCCTTAAACCAACGGCAATTAATGAAACCGGTACCTGCTTACACAAATGCTGCTGGTTAATATTGGTCTGAAAAGCCAGTAGGCCGATAAACTCCAAAGATTGTATTTATATGTGGAGATGGGGAACTATTTCATGTGGATGATGTAGAATTGAGAGACTCCAATGACCGATAGACTGGTAGCCAGGAGGTGGCAGTACAACACGTGGGAAAGTCGTGTGGGACCTATGAGTGTCATTACCTTTCGTGTGCACATCTTCCCCCAGCTACTCTGGTTTATTTCCACGCACGAAACGCTTCTTAAAATTGAATAATCAGACATCCCAATTGAGTGCAAATTCACAGCTATTTTGTTCATCCACTTCTGGATGAGGGCCTCCCCACGCCGTGCATGTTGCAGGGAGCCGTTAGGTGTGGAATGGTGAAGGCGGTGAACAGAGACATTGGAGCATAACAGGCCAGTATGACAATGTATTTTTCTGCACTGCCCTCTACTGCCCACCACGTAAACCTGGCAGTAGCCTACAATAACCCCATGTGCCCATCCAAACAAAGATCAATACTTCCATAATAGAGATCAATACTAACATAATAGAGATCAATACTGTCTCGCGTCTGAAATATACGGATATTAGGTGAATTTCAGGTGACTAGTCAGTGAGGCGTTCCTGGATAGATAGATAAATACATAAATTGCATCACAAATGTTAACTCTATAATGGGGTTATCTCATGCTTTAGTTGTGTGTGTTCTTGTTGCTACTGTTTCTCCATGGTGATGGTGCCACACACTCACCGAATTGGTCTTGATTTTCACGTGGCGCTCAATGGCTCCTGGGAGGAGGATGAGCTGCCGCTTGGAGTTTCTCCCGGCCTGAAACACACACACACAGGGTGAGGCGAAGCAGCGACTGGGTGCCACCACCACACCATGCAAGGCACCAGGACAGGACAAATATCATAAACAAAATCATGCATTGTTGAGAGCATTATGGGTACAAATCATATTTGAGCAAATCTCCATTCTGTCTCCACATTTCAATAAAATGTGTGTCAGGCTAGCAGCCTATCGGCTTCCCAGACTAATACAATTCGACAGCATTCGATTAAGCAAGCAAACTGGACCATAGGTCGATGATGGGACTAAAACAATATTTGATTTATTTGTGGAGAATGAGAATGGATGTAGATGAAGTCATTAAGGAGTATCTATATCAGCTGGGATCAGTAGAGACACTACATGCTTTTTTTTGTTTCCGTTCACATTGATAAATATATTTTCCCCAACTTGATCTTCGTGGTGACATTAGTGTCATGTCAAGAGACAAATAATCTATTAAAATACTCTGCAGAGCAGAGAGCCTACTGAAGCCAATATTATATAAGTACTTCTGAGATCCTTTCAAGTGAACTCTGGTCCACACGCTTTCCCACTCACCCTGCTACTGAGAGTAACATTCATTGCGTGGCAGTAATACTGATATTTTTACATCTCACATGGGGAATTTTTCCAAGTAATGTGCAAAACCAACTTTAATGATTACATATATATCGTAATTGGTGAACATGCTGAGCCCATCCACGCACTATACTTGAAAATCTGAATTATCACACGCACCGGCGTCGATTTCAACCCAGCTCAGTGCTCTGATCTCTGATCCATCTGGCAAACTCAGTTTGCATCCTTCTTCATTAATCATAACCATTAATGCACAGTAATACGCGGGTTTTTTTTCTTAATCTGCATCTGCCTTTTGACATAATGGTTGTACATCATACTGTGGCATGCCAAGGTAGTCACATGAAAGACCATTCATTGCCTGATATTCTTCAAAGGCATACCTAACACAACCAGTCGATTCAGTTCAGTGGCGTAGCATGTTTGGCATGAGATCTGGTTCAAGAATGACATGAAATGGGGCCCCCTGTCAAATTCCCCCCCCCCCCAACCTCATCATAGCCCAGTGTCTTGGGCTCCTCCAAGCCGTGCGCGACAGTGCAGTTGCACCCCCTGCACAATTGATAGCTACGCGATTTTGCTTGCATCAGCTGTGCAAGTGAGTGGTTTGCTCCCTTACTCAATCATTCACTCACTCACTCACTCGCACGCACGCCGCACGCCCTTCTTCCTGTGTGTGCAAGGGTGTCTGGTCGTTACCACCAAGGCCTTGAGCTCCATGCTGGACGGCAGCTGAGTGCGCCCGCCCACCTGCAGCGTGCGCCGCAGGTGCTGTTCACACACTCGCGCCATCCCTGCCGAGACAGCAGCAATGCGTACACGGCACGCACGTGAGGCCAGGTTGGAGGGCGAGCCACCGCTCTATAGGCAACATGCATACCTCGTTTTCCACCGTAAAACAGAGCTGTACTGGGAACGTGCCAAGCCAACTTAGCATGGCTCATGAGGCGCCAGATTGTTTTTCGACCACGGATGCTGAACCACCGCAACGGAATATCAGGCGATATTCATAGTTGATGCCGTGTCCTCATAGCGTACTGATCTACCGAGCACATCATGAGCCGCACCCCTGGACCTGCATGGCCCAGAGCCAGTTTCAGATGCCTTGAGAGGCCAGCGTATCATGGTTTGGTTCTGGCACGGTACAGCAAATAGGCAGTGAAATATCACTAGTAACGTGAGGGCCCTGTGCTGGCTCAGCTTTGGTGTGCCAGTGGAAAAAAGGTAACAATTGTTGACATACACAAACAGAGACAGTTTAACACGTAGGCTTTCGTGATCAATATCATCCATAAAAGAGGTTTTTGGGTTAGATCGCGTACATTTAAATGTCGCGTTAAACCTAACAACCTCTATTATGGACAACGAGAGACAGTTACCATACCACCAGACTACTTTTGCACAGTCACATCATCACTTTAAGATGTTTTTCTTGTTCATGTTTTTTGTTTGTTGCGGTTGCACCCGATTCAAGAGCCGAATGGCTCACAGGGCTATACCAAATAAATAAACTATGAACTCACCCGGAAACACTAAACAAATATCTTGACCTATGGGAGGAAACCGGAGGACCCAGAGGAAACTCATACACAACAGAGAGAGAACATACACCCCACACAAATAGGTGCCCGAGTTGGGAATTGAACCAAAGCCCTCTTTGCTGTGTGGCATGAGTGTTACCACTGCTTCACCCTGCGACCCAATATTAATCTACATACCCATTATTGTAAAACTACCTTTGACTACATTTTGAATAGTAACTTAGCTATGGTTATCTAAGTCTTCCATGATAAAGAGATCATGTTTTGAATGGGCTATATTCTGGTTAAATATAGAATACTTAATCAGCTAATAACATGGACATAACTGAAGGTAGTGATATCAACACATGGAAAGCTTCCTCCAATTGTAGATTGTACAATGTGATGTTGCTGACAATAATGTATAAATGTTTGATGATGATTTCATTGTGATGCTTGCAATGATGGTTTTAGCAGTAATACATTTATTGTATCCATATAAAACCAAATTCGTCAATGATGACAAAAGTCCAAATGTTATAATAATAATATAAAGTACAAACGCCAATTAATAGTACACAGGTCAACTGGCCTGTCACCACAAATATAAGGAAGACAGTTACAGAAGAATGCCCTTTTCATTGTAACCACGATAATATCATCATTAGACTGCACTGACTGGCGAAGACAACCATGTACACATTAACGGCGACAATGATTTTTTTTAAGTTGGTGACCGAGCCGGCGAGCTCCTCTCGCTTGCTTTCACCCTGGAAGCTGGCTTTGCTGTCGTTGGCCACCTCGCGGAGGTAACGCAGCAAGTACGGCTTCAGGTTGTCGGAACACTTGCTGTACGCCGTCACAATGTACAGCAGCCTCCAGCCCCGATGGCAGCTGTCCCTGCACACGGACCAGAGGGGAAGAGCGGAGCAATGTTAAAACCGATAGGAATATGTCAGCATGGAAGGTGCTCCCGGTGAGTGTCGACGTGGCCAAGCGGGTTGAACATTTCGGGGCTTGTTTCAGGGGGAACACAGTTCGAGACTGGCAGCCGTCCCGGTAAATACTACAGGTAACGTTCCGTAAGATATTTCGGGGATGTCGTTGCGCACACTTTACATTGTGTTCATGCCCTTTGGTGAAGCTTGTAGGCCAATGTATTTTAATCTCCCAGACATGGATATATTTAAACAGAACAATTTTCAATGTGAACAGATACATTAATTTATGAGCCGATCCTGCTATCAGGTACATTATAAAATATGCTTAAATCAGACATGCCAGGATAATGCAACTTATACACCAGGACTGGTTGCATGAAACACCGTAAGTTGAACTTTATGCTTATTCTGACAATAAAATGGTGCAAGGTAAGAGAGAAATCACCAAACATGGTTAAAGCAGTTAGCCACAGATGCCTTTATACAAAACGTTGCATTGTGATAGAAATATTTGACTTTTATTCGCCTATGAAAGATGATAATGTAGTCATGTTATTGTGTCACGTACGGCTTGGGGCTCTTGTTGCTGGTGATCTGCTTCACGATGTGGCAGTAAATCTCATCGCGCATCTCCGGCTGATTCTCACTGAACTGGAAACATACGGCACAGCACAGGGCTTGATATCACCAGAGCAGGCCCTCATTTTAGCCTCAAACAAAACAGCTACGGCCTGTATATTTGGTGAGATCACCATGGCTTCGGCAAATGAAAAAACAAACACATATGAGGTCACACACTGCTAAAACTGTACATGTGTTTTTTTTTATACCAGCTGTCCTCAAAAACACTGGCTAGCTAGCCCCATTGATCAGGTCTGAAGTTCAAGAGAATTTTCCAGTGACCAACCATACAATTCATGTACATTTGTGTGACATAGTTTCAGGACAATTATGAGCATTGTGCTTGCAATCACAAGAGCATACGTTCAAATCCACATCACATTTAATTCAGTTAATTATCACGAAATCGGTAAAGTACAAACCACTTATTAAGATGCACCACTCAGAAGATTTCAAATATTTTTTGGCTGAGATAAACTGGTCCCTGACATAGGAATGTGGAATTGATACCACAGTTACAGGATTGATAATGTTCGAAAGAGCAAATTCTTGAAAGGCATTGGCTGACTGCATGTAAGGCTGTAGACAAGTGTTAAAATACAACTAAGGTAGATTGGGATGGAAGAAATTTACCAAAATGGTGGAGGATATGGTGACCATAGATCCAACTTTATTAAAAACGAAGCTGCTCCTGATGGCCTCAAATGAAAAGGGTTAAGTTTAACAAAACAATACTTCCACAACCAAGAGGAATGAGCACAGCACTTGGAAAGGATAATGAAGACCAGAAACCCATGGCATGTCCAACACCTTAAAACCATCTTGTTTAATTAACTAAATAAATTAAGATAAATCACTGTCAATTTGATTCTTGCCATGAGAGCAGCTATCACCGTGTGGTCACGCTGCACTTTGCTCACTGGATGCTGTGAAAACGCCAAGCTCATCTGCGTAATGCATCTCACCTTGAGTAGGGAGAAGACACTGTCCACCTCCCCTTGGCCCTTCAGTGGGTAGTCACCCATGAACTTCATCACAGCTACGGTGGAGATGAGTGGAGAATGAGACACAGACACACATTCATCATTACCACAGTTTGGCATCGTAAAGATGAGTTGGCCATATGGAATATGGGGGTTTCCTCATCTTGTAAATCTTATTCATCATTTTATAATTGTAAATTTAGACCAAACCCATTCCACAATATTCACAGGGAAAAAAAAGGTTCCAACAACTTGTGTGTGTGCTCTGTATGTTATTAGGTGCAAATGCATAATTATCCAGATCTCCACTACAAAATGGATAATTGATCTCAATTTTAAATAAACGTCTGTGATCAAACTACAAATTCTTGCTTCTTTCGGTGAAGTCACGTAAATAGAAAACAAATTAGAAAAGAAAAATAATAAGATCAAATAAAAAATAATAACATAATAAAATTAATAAATTTAAAATAATAACAGCAAAAAACCCCACCACGTTACGATGGCAACACAAGCGGTCTTCATCAGCGCGGAGAGAAAAGAGGGGGCAAGCCTCCAAATGTAGCTGCTTATAAGGGTTCCAAAGTGAGTGGGCGGGGGAAAGGGTTGCGCAAGCATCAACCGAGACGATGGTTTTAAACTCAGCAATCATTGGAAAGATGTCATCAACCACTTTTGGTCACGACTTGAATTTGTGTTTTCTTGTCAACCTCTACCGTCAGCAGTGTGGATGGGTGCAGCCCTTTCTCCCGCCCACTCACTTTGGAGCCCTTATAAGCAGCTACATTTGGAGGCTTGCCTCCTCTTTTTCTCTCCGCCTGATGAAGACCGCTTGTGTTGCGATCGAAACGTCGTGGGTTTTTTGCTTTTATTATTATTATTATTTTTTAAATGTATTTTTATATTCTATTATTTTTATTTTATCTTGTTATTTTATTTTCATTTTTGATTTTTTTGTTTTCTATTTACGTGACTTCACCGAAAGAACCAAGAGTATGAATTCCTGCAGTCACGAAAGTTTTAAGTCTAAACTAAACGACAAATATGTGGTAGGAAGTTCACCTACCAAGGAAGGCCTCCACAGCCAGCTTGTTGAACTTGGGGTCTTGTGAGTGAATCAGAGACTCCTGGATGGGAGACTGGACACAGATAGAAGACAAAGATCACTATGACCCTATAATAGCATTCACATGAATATGACTGTGCTCAAAGCCAGCTTCTTTCCTGCAGCTGCAACTCGGCTTCAACCCAACGCAAGTACAAAACCTCACCAGCTTTATACAGTAAAACCTTGGATTGCGAGTAACTTGGTCTGCGAGTGTTTTGCAAGACGAGCAAAAATGTTAAATAAATATTAATTTGATAAACGAGCGAGGTCTTGCAATATGAGTAGTACGTATACCCATTGTCTGCTGAGCGTCACGTGATGACAACTGATATACGAGTGCTTTGATATACGAGTGCTTTGGATTACAAACACGTTTCCGGAAAGAATCATGCTCGCAATCCAAGGTTTTACTGTATAATGTTTACTCCTTATGCACAACACAGTCATTCTGATATGTTAATAAAGCCAATGGACCCATCAAAGTGCAGTCCGACCTCAAGAGAAGCCTAAATATAGTTGAGCCCCATGCTGGGATGGGTGACAGTGAAGATGCCAAGTTGCTAGGATTGGCAATGGATTCTCATTATGGGGAATCTTCCCAAATAAGTGTCCAACATTGGTGCCTTGGACCCAATTCATGGATGTGGTCCGGTCATTCACACGACATCCTGGCCTGATTTTCACAGATTGGTTTCCAGTTGATGGGGACGGTTGTCGGCCAGAGAAGGCATGACCTTGTTTAAGAAGCCTCCAGCGTGCCTCCTTGTGGAGGCGATGCAGTTTGTCGGGAGGGCAAACCAATGATCGCCACTTTTTAACATTCATTTGGTGGCTAAACCCAGCTGCTGTTAATATACTGTGGACACTTTCTGCTGGGGTTTGTAAGGTAATGTCAGTTTTAAACATTCCCACTTTTTTTACGACTACAATATGCTATATGCTTAGCTCTTTCGGTAAAGTCACGTTGAAGGGAAACAATAAAATAATAAAATATATAAAACAATAAAAATTCTCACGACGTTTCGACCATTATTTTATTGTTTCTCTTCAACGTGACTTTACCGAAAGAGCTAAGAATATGAATTACTGCAGTCACGAAAGCTTTAAATCAAAATACAATATGCTATGTTAATAAATACGTGCATTTCAAACTGCTCATACTTTTAAATAGTGACCTGGATCAATTTAGTAAAACCTGCTGAAGGCATCTCGATTTGGAGTTGTTTGACTGGAGGGCATCTTATGAATCAATGATGGTCGCCTTACCTTGGTGTACTTGACCATCTCGGAGGGGTCCGTGGGAGCCTTTTCTTTCCGCAGTTTTCCGCGCGCTCCATTTCTGTGAGCGAATCGCAACGTGGCATGTATTTTTTAAGAGTTTGTGTATGACACGATGTTTGCATGAGTGTATAATCAAACGCAAGTGGAAAGCAATAGAACTGCATTGTAAATCAATGCCACATCGAACCAATTAGCATGGCTGATCAAGACCTGACATGCACATTCAAGGATGAAACAAGACAAAAAATAATCAGACAATATATCTGTATCTCCATATGACAAGAACATTATTTTTTACACTTCCTGTCAACCACATAGCCTTCTGGGAATACGTAATTTCAGCAGCATTGGTTCAATACAGGCAAACTCTGAACCAGTTTCGACATAAAGTGCCTCCGCAGAGTCAGGCTTGCTTGAACAAATGTCCATGATGTTAATATATGGGTCCTAGTTTGATGAAAATTATATAATCCATAACACAATATAATCATAACCAAGAAAATGAATGGCTATGTTGTCCAAGGAAGATGTTAAGTCTAAACCAGATGACACAAACAACGCTGTTGTGTTTGAGAATATGATTAAATAACTTTTTGTTCATCTGCAAATGTCAAGTAATGCACACTAAAGTAATAAAACACGAAAAGATCATTCAGTAGTTTCTTACAAATCAGAAAAACAGATTCACAACGTTAATGACAGTACTCTCTTGTTTTTTTTTTAGCACAGTTGCTAATCACAGGCCCCAAATGTCCAAAACCCAGGTGTCCAATAAAATACAGGACTAATGAAGGAAGAATAAATACGCGTTAATATGTTTGTTGAATAAAGCACGGTTGGGAAAAAAAAAAAAACTTGGAAAAAAGTTTAGAAGAACTTGATCTGCTAAAACAGTGTGGATGAGATAAAAGAGTTTGTCTGGTAGACCAGGTCCTCAACATGGGTGGAGGAATCAACGAGTGACATTCACAGGAACGGTTACCATGGTAGTAGTGGTCTCAACTCAAAAGGTCCATTGTTGCAGGAACTGCACTTACTTCTGCTCATGCACGTGTGTGCGTAAAATTGCAAATGCAATGTGAAAATGTGGCTTTGGCGCTAGCTGCGCCTCGTGTGCACATGCAGCCGCGGTGCCATGAGACTGTGCTTTGCAGGCGGGCTTAACTCACACCCACGGAAGCCAACCCAGCCCTACAAGGCTAGTGGTCATCGAGACTGGGCGATGCGCTTACTGGTTTGCCTGTGCCTCTCGGAAGAACTTCTTGGCGAAATCGAGCATCGTGTAGCCTCCGTCTTCCGAGGCAACGCTCACGCAGTCGTCCAAGCTGTCCGTGTACTCGCTGGCCACTGACGATGTCTGTGCACGTAAAAAAAATATATACCCAATTGCTTATCAATTAATTCTCTGAGCACTAAGTATTTTTTTTTTTAAAGCTTTCGTGACTGCAGTAATTCATATTCTTAGTTCTTTCGGTAAAGTCACGTTTAAGGGAAACAACAAAATAATAAAATATATATGAAACAATACAAATTCTCACGACGTTTCGACCATAACACAAACGGTCGTCTTCACGACCGTTTGTGTTATGGTCGAAACGTCGTGAGAATTTTTATTGTTATATATATTTTATTATTTTGTTGTTTCCCTTAAACGTGACTTTACCGAAAGAACTAAGAATACACTAAGTATTTGCCGGCACCAGTTTGTCGAACAGAGAACTCTCCGTGGTCGTCACGTCAATTTGTCCCACCCAACAAATATATAGTGAAAATATACGCAGTATATACGCAGTATTCATTAATACCGATCACTAATTAGTGCCCAGCAATTTAGGCGCATGCCAGTAATCCAGAAACGTGCAGAGGGGTTAGTGGACCATGCAGAGATGGAGCCGTTTTGTATTTAACACACCCACCCGCATGACAATATGGTGGGGTCTAGGTGGGGATAAAGTGTGGGTACTGCTACCACTTCCAAGACGTCTGGCCATCCTGGAAGAGTAGGCCAACATACCATATAGAGGAGCTCTATAGATATCTATCTAGTGGAAGCCCTTCCACCAACAGTGGCTTGAGCAAGTTATTGCAGGGCTGGACCTTAACCTTACCACCCACTTAGCATCATAGTTCTCTGCCGAGATGGTGTGTGCGGACTTGTGAGTGACCAAACCTCAGTTCCACGGTCGAGATCGGCCACGTTGCTCCCGGCAGCACTAAGCACGCCTGTAGGCCGGTCAGACAGATGCTCGTATTCCGGTGGAGCGGCCGGTGTCACGTACTCAGCAGGGAAGAGTCCCGAGCGCCCGTTCCTCATGCCAAAGCGCCAGCCTGGATGCCCCGCCACCGGCGACACCAACGCACACGCAGCGTCAGCAGGAACCATCCGACCGATGATGAAGGGTTGGCGCTAGTTTGAGCTGCTGTGGGTTTAGCCTCCAAAACATTGTGCAGACAAGTGAGTCATCACGATCGGGAACGCCACAGCTAATAATGAGAAGGAAAATATCTCAAGTAGTTTTCTTTGTTATCAAAGCAGTAGCTGGTTTATTAACACATAGACATGGATTAAGTGGATGGTTTATTAATAATGGGAGAGAATGAATGGCTGGTTTGTTAACAATGGCAGGTGGCAACCACTCCAAGGTTTGTCTGATTGGTTTGTAACTGGCCGAATCAAGTTTCATTTATTTTTCATTCATTAGGTATAGCCCTGTGAGCCATGCGGCTCTTAAGTCGAGTGCAACCGCAACAAACAAAATATGAATCTACATTGCAGAAAACTATTACACCACAACCAGACCAAAATAAAGCTACAAAAACAATGTAACAACAGCACACCCTGATTAGCTTCTCCGACTTACTGTGACCTTACAGTTTGTTTTCAGGCTACTCATTCTACCTATCCTCTACGAGTTTCCAAAAGAGCCTTTGGAATCACAATAGGGAAGTTGATGTCCTGGCAACTGGCAGGCACTGCCAAAGAGTATAGGCATCACAAAACATCTTCTTTTTCCAGATTAACATCGAATAAACTAGACCAGCAACACAGACAGCGAGTCACCGCTTGCATTGCGAGTGGGAGAGTAGGTTGCGCGGGGCTTGAAGCTTTGGATAAATCTCACAAGACAACGAAAAAAAAATAGTTCACAATGCCTTCATAAGGGCTGGTGCATTTACGCAATAAACCCTTCCCTAAGGTAGAGACAAAAGCCTCATGCTCACGGTGCAAGTCAGATGGTGAGTAAAGGCCGAGGCAAGTGTAATAGGGTGGCCATGAATCAAATAATTATTCAATTTGATATTGGCGTAATAATAATAGCGCAAGGTTACAATGAAGACGCTGCGTTTCATAGACAATTATAGTCTGCAGTGGATTTACAATAAGAAGTGCGGGGCAATGTTGCTACGCGGCTTTACCAAATTCATTTAATTTGCGGTTAATCATTTTCAAATTTGGATCAGAACGAAAGCACACATTGGCATTCTTTCGTGAGTAACGATACAAAATCTCTTTAATGTTTACTGTTAAGTGGATCAAGCAGCGCGTGTTCTTCTTTCATACAGCCGCAGTGTTAACCAGGGCGGCCGCTGGGCTCGAACCACGAACCTCTGCAACATGCGACAAATGCGCTGAGGAAGTGCAGTGAAACCTCACAGATTGTGTATCATTGCCTGCTAATCTAACTATTGGAACCTTTTTAATTTTACAATCGTACACGTAAAAAAATTAATTCGATAACCGTGTATGATAAAAAACAAATCCCGAGCTAGAGACGTGAAATTACTCATTAATGTACCCCGGTATGACAACAAATACAACCTGGTGAGTGAAGCCTAAACATACATCCTCTTATCTGCGTCAAATTTACGACCACAGTTATTGATATAATTACTGTGGTGTATTTGTACGTGAACAAATCATCCAGAATGTGCCCAAACGTGTCAGATCTTGTAAATTAAGCAGAATGTAGCCAGAATAGATCTTGGATGGGTGGTTGAATGTCAAGCAGGTGACACCATTTCATGATCCTCACACCCCACCTCAAGATTTTAGGATGACTAGTGTGTGCCTCCAAAGCTGGTGCAATTACATATATTTCCAGTATATAGAGCTCTATTGTTAATTCCTTGGTGAAAGAGGCCTGCCCACACTATGTATATATGTTTAACTTCTTTCATAGCGTATGTAGCCAACTGTGCTAATTGGAGGTGCAGGGAAAGGACAACAAACTAAACACAAAAAGCAGTTCGAAGGAAATGAGTTTTCATTTCAGATTTAGATTTGGGTCGTAGGGCTAATTTGGCCATATTTCTCCATGCTGGTCAGTGCAGGTTGATGAAGGCAGAGAACATAGATGTGGGGACATAGCAGTACAGTACAATGAGGTATATTGCTGTATTATCCTCTGATGCGAACCATATAGTAAAATTGTAAAAAAAAAATAGTTCCTATGGGACAGCCAACTAAGTTTTCTGTAGAAATACACAAATGTTCAAAAAGATCATTGCATTATGTGAGATGGTCCGTCTACAAACGACGTGAAATTTTCCATAGAACTGCAATTAATGTGGAACCACAGATGCCCACAACTCATGAACCTCTTGACCATTCTCCCCTCTTCCCTAAGAAAAAATCCTCTTTTCACCTCATAGGCTCTGGGCAATATTTGTTGCCACCTATTAAAACCAGAAAAGCTCACTTAGCAGTGGAGCAAGTACCACACATGCCCAGCCACATTCGTCTCCTCAGTGGTCAGTCGCCAAAGCCAGGGCCAGGCTCAGAGACCAAGTGCCTCTGTTTTTTAATCATTAGGGCGAGAATTTAACCTGGGTTGCTACTCTGCCACTGTAAATTCCACACCACCACCTCAGACTGGCCCATACACACCTACAAACACAGCATATGACTGCACATGTGTGTTAGGGTGTGGGTCAGTGGGGCTCTGTGTGGAGAGAAACATCACAGAGTTTCACAACTGTTCACAAAGACCAACAAAACAAAGATTGCACTTCAAATTCATGCAGAAAATCATGCTCCAGGAATGGCCAGGGGAAAAAAAAACACAAGGACAGCAACAATAATGACAACAGGATGGAAAACTGTAGGAGGGAACGTCATTGGGTGAGGGGGAGGGAAGGGGGAGGGAAGGGAGAGGGATCTTTCGCATCAGCCAAACCCTGCACACAACACCACCAGCACTCCCATGCCCCCCGCCTCCTCCCCGCCTCTAACCCACCGAAGTCAGGGGCGTTTCGCTTACATCCCTCCAGCAAAACCACCCTTTTCCTGACAAGGCAGCCGTACCAGACGCCTGCAAGGCAAGGCAGCGGCATGGTGGGAGGCTCAGTAGGTGGGGTCAAAGGACGGGGATCAGGAAGGAATGGTAGGGATTGGTGGCCGTGTAGCTCAGTGGTGGAAAATATCTACGCTATGCTCCTGAACCAGATCTCAAAAATATTTTTATTGAACCCCCAGGTTATTCCCTTTCTCCAAAAGGTGACAGGTTAACAAGACAGGCATTGCAGTGGCACCCAGAGGTCGTTGACCAAGGGGAAGATACTATAAGAAATTACCTTGGAGGGCAAGTGTCTACCTTACCGGATTTGTAAGATTAAACAGAACAAAACCACTTGTTTTTCAACATTAAACTGTCCACATGTTTTTGTGAAGCACTTACTTGTTATATGGATCACTTGTAATTTACATTTCTCAAAAGCTATCGCTGCTTACATTGTCTTGCGGTAGAGAATGTTATAGATGCATGCCATAGAGATGAAAACAAATTAATATGTGAGCCACATGGACAGACGGTGCAGATGCTATCTGTAATCTATATATATGGTCCACAGTTGTATAAGACCCATCGGGATCTTCATTGATGTACGAGCCTGTGCTTGCTAACAAGAGTAAAACGCAATGACCAACTGTTAAATTGCTTGTGCAAAGCAGCTTATAATCGCCTACGTGACGCCTGGCACACGCCAGAATAGTGGACGGAGGGAAGGGAGTGGTGGGGATGGGGCTGGGGTATCAAGAGGTGATTGAGGATTAAAAAAAACATCATTCATCTCCAGTTCCCTTAAGCAGCGTCTCCCTCTCACAGGATGCAGCTGAACAGAAGGTAAATATTGACACACACATTGACACACATGTTGACACACATATTGACACACATATTGACACACATTATTAATGTATTGACACACATATTGACACACATTGACACATATTGACACACATATTGACACATATTGACACACACTATTAATGTATTGACACACATATTGACACGCATATTGGCACATATATTGACACACATTATTAATGTATTGACACACATATTGACACACATTGACACACATATTGACACACATTATTAATGTATTGACACACATATTGACACGCATATTGGCACATATATTGACACACATTATTAATGAATTGACACACATATTGACACACATTGACACACATTGACACACATATTGACACACATTATTAATGTATTGACACACATATTGACACGCATATTGGCACACATATTGACACACATATTGACACATATTGACACACCTTATTAATGTATTGACACACATATTGACACATATTATTAGTGTATTGACACACATTGACACACATTAATGTATTGACACACATATTGACACACATATTGACACACACTATTAATGTATTGACACACATATTGACACACATATTGACACACATATTGACACACATTATTAATGTATTGACACACATTATTAATGTATTGACACACATATTGACACACATTATTAATGTATTGACACACATATTGACACACATATTGACACACATATTGACACACATATTGACACACATTATTAATGTATTGACACACATATTGACACACATTATTAATGTATTGACACACATATTGACACACACACATTAATAAATGGAGAAAACAGACATTCGAGGGTTCCACAAAACATTTAGAGAGCACCAACTTAACAGTGGTTCTGACGGCTCGTAAGATTTCTCGTATATTTATGAATACCCGATGTCATTCCTCTCCCATTTACTCGGAGTTACGAGCGCGACATCACAGCCTGCTTTGTACTCCAAGATATCAGCAGCATGTTAGGTTCCTGTTGTCAGCACGTGACAGACGATCTCTATCATTCCTCATGTTTAATCGCAGACCTCCTTGGCTTCGAGGATGGCCAGGGAGCAAAATCGTTCTGCAGTGTGAGAGAATCTTATCTTATCTTCAAGGAATTCATAAAGCGCCTTAACCAAGGCGCTATACCAAAAAAAATCACAATTTTACACACGAATGGAATGGTGGAGATGAGGCGAATGAAAGAGATGAGAGGAAGAAGTGGGCACATTTGCTACGTGTCAATTCGGTGAAACCGAAATTGATGACAGTAAACGATGATGAATGGATTGAATGAATGGGGAATGAGTGAAAGCCATATGAGAATATGAGGAGTTAAAAGTAACGGTGGCGGTTATAAGGGGGGGGGGATTAAGGGGTCGTGCGGTGAGCAAGGAAAATAAGTGAGTCTTGAGTGCGGAGCGGAAACTAGTGAACGTAGGTGACTGTTTAATGCGGAGGGGAAGGTTGTTCCAGTTAAGGGGGGGGGCGAGAAGAGAAAAATAACAAAAACATGGATTGAGCGCAAGGAGAAGGAGGAACAGAGAGAGACGGCAAAGACTGAGAACGAATTGGAAACTGAAGGAAGTCTCTGGGCACCTGGCTGAGTCACATTGCACATCATTACCCTGTGTGACTTGCTTGATGCACGTGCACAGAGAGGTCTGCTGCTGTGCAGCAGTATGTGCATCCTGTATCCTGAGGCATACGTGCACTATGTGCAAGGTGGAGCAAGCTCATGCAATTACAGAGTGACATGCATGGTACAAGAAGAATATATATCCACTTGCACAAGCACCTCTGTTACTAATATTGGCACCATCCCAAAACCAACAGTGTGCAATTAAAATCAATCTTAGGCATGATCATGCAACTATGTACACACATTCTTGGAGTGTAACACTGAATGGGCATTTACAATAATGCACATATCCACACACTGGGCTGTCTTCATCCGAAAGGTTATCTTCAAAGAATATGCTCACGACCCAAAAGACCCTTAGTTCCTCTAAAGCCCTCCCGTAGCCTCAGAAGTGCCTCCTTATTCCGACTAAAAACTCAATTTCCTAAAACTTTGGTAAAGAGCACTACCCCGTTGCTGCTTCACGTTTCTGGAACAACTTGCCGCTCAGCTACAGCTTGGTTCCCTCTCTTAACTCCACCCCTCTTTACTTCCCCATTAAACCAAAAAACATGGCACTCGGCTAAACGGGATCATTCGGTTTTTTTTAACAACATTCATTTAACAAATAAAATTAAACACACATGTGATGTGACTTAAATGTAACCTGCAAACTGCTATATCCATGAAGATTAACACGCACATCATCTCTCACAAGAACAGCTATACTGAATATGCATAGCACATGAAGACAAGCCCACGCATTAATACAAACACAATGTGAACGGTCTGACACTGAAGAATAAGTAGACTTGTCAGCAAAACAAAAAGCAGACAAACCAGCAGAAAATCCGGAGAGTTCTAGAAAAATAACAGAGGCAAATCAAAACGATGAACATTTTCAACACAATACTGCAGAACACAAGACAAACAGATTTTGCAATTCGTCAGCAACCCAAGCAAACAAAAAACAGAGACGATAAAAAAAACATTGAGCTGACAAGCAAGCTGAGCATGCTGGACTACAAGAGGGCCCCAGACGTAGACCCAGACAGACCGGCAGAACGCGCCGAGCGCAGCTGCAGATCCTCACCTGGCTCCAGCCCATCCAGGGGCAGCAGCCTGATGAGGTCTCCCTTGTGGAAACTGAGGAGGCTCCGGTCCTCCGTGGAGTAGCTCCTCACCGCGACCACGTAGTTAGAGTCCTGTGCAGTACAACGACATCGGTTTTCGCAGTTGTGCTTTTTACAGCTCTTCTGATTTCTGATTGCGTTTTCGAGTTTTACTGCATTGGCCGAGCATTTGCTCCTGGGAGCTTCTCAGTGTTTGCAGAAGCTCCCCTGCACGCTGGACATGGTGCCGAACAACATGCGGTACAACAACAAAACACATTTAAGGGCTCTGCAGTACAACTGGTATTTATAAAGCATCCTCGATGCACCGCATCTCAAGGCACCATTCAACCGGGCCACTCCAACAGCAAAAATCAGAATCAACACTGAAGCGTGTCCGAATGTACCCGACACTGAATCAACATGCATTCCTAGCAATGCCAGGCTGATATTAAGATTGACACGATCACTGTGAACCAGACAGTTTGTTACCGCTTCACAAGACGTGGACGGGGAAAATAATACATTGCAAGTACAACCCGTGATCATCATTGTGTTTGTAAATGGACAGCGCTTTTGTGAATCCACTGCTGGAGGAGGATCTCCCCACGCCGTGCATGACGTGGGGGTTATTCCGATTAGACTTCAACACACTGGTTAGTACATATCAGTGAAGGTGGGGAGCACAGGTAGAGTACAACAATGGATTTTTCTGCACTGCCCTCTGCTGCACACCACGTAACCCTGCAGATCTATGACAACCTATTTTGTACATAGTGGTTACCCTTCCAAACACTATCCAGACACAAATCCTGCTAAGCTTCTGAGATCCGTATGTATGTTGAACTTCTTTCGTACCATACGTAGCCAACCGTGTAAATCGGAGGTGCAATTATTGCGGAAGTGTAATGGGATCAGGCATATTCCGGGTAATTTGATCGTGTGTAAGACGTTTGTTAAAATGCTAGCACATGGTAGCAGGTGGTGCCCAACTTTCTATCAGCTTTAGCTTCGGACTTTTTCTTAATGTAAAAGCCACTCGGGGAGTGAGGAGTGCTGCACCTTCTTGAGCTCGGTGATGAAGTGGTCGACCATGGCCTTGACGTGGACCGCCTTGGGAGAGAAGAGAAGCAGCTTGTCGCGGGACAGCATGAACTCCAGCGTCTTTGCGTCCAGCAGCGTCACAAACAGCACATCCGCATAGCTGCACAGGGTACCGGTGCTCGTTAAAGCTCCACGCACGGCTCTTACAACAGGTGGTGCTCGCTCACTGCTATTGCTGATAATTAAAACAATGACGTCCTTAAATATGATAAAATTTACATTATCACGTTGGGTGCTATTTAACTTGTCAAGGAAAATGTAATGTATGTATATTCTTTTGCACCGTACGTAGCCAACCGTGCTAATCAGAGGTGCGGGGGCAGGACGACTAAACACAATAAGCAGTTCTAAATAAATTATTTTGCTAAGAGGGGCCAATGCCTGAAATGTCCCCGATTATATATATTTTTAAAAACATATTCATTGTGAAGTGTCCACTATTCATTGTGAAGTGTTCACTATTCATTGTAAAGTGTCCACTATTCATTGTGAAGTGTTCACTATTCATTGTGAAGTGTTCACTATTCATTGTGAAGTGTTCACTATTCATTGTGAAGTGTCCACTATTCATTGTGAAGTGTCCACTATTCATTGTGAAGTGTCCACTATTCATTGTGAAGTGTCCACTATTCATTGTGAAGTGTCCACTATTCATTGTGAAGTGTCCACTGTTCATTGTGAAGTGTCCACTATTCATTGTGAAGTGTCCACTGTTCATTGTGAAGTGTCCACTGTTCATTGTGAAGTGTCCACTATTCATTGTGAAGTGTCCACTATTCATTGTGAAGTGTCCACTGTTCATTGTGAAGTGTCCACTATTCATTGTGAAGTGTCCACTGTTCATTGTGAAGTGTCCACTGTTCATTGTGAAGTGTCCACTATTCATTGTGAAGTGTCCACTATTCATTGTGACGTGTTCACTATTCATTGTGAAGTGTCCACTGTTCATTGTGAAGTGTCCACTGTTCATTGTGAAGTGTTCACTATTCATTGACGCCAATCACTGATCACCTGTAGCTGTGCAGCACACGCAGCTGCGGCGGGTCGGAGGGGCGCGCTCGGTGCGGCACCAGCAACTTCACCCCCTTGTGCGAGACGCCCAGCATCTGCACCTCAGTGCCTGCGCTGCCCTGCACCCCAACACGTACAGACGAACATTGTCCAGGCTTGCAGTTGAGCCTTAGAGACTGGAGTGATAAAGAGGTGTTCGCGTGCGCCTATCAAGGTTGGCACCGCAAGCGGGCGGGCAAAAGTGGCCGGCATCACACATGTCCGTATGTCTGTGTGTCCTCACCCCAATGCTGCTGTTTACTCACTGCACCAGGTACTCGTTTAAGGCTGAGTCGATATAGATGACCAGAGCTCGTTCAGATATTCATCACTGATGTTGGACGTAATTGGGCATCGAAATGGGAACACTGGGGTTCACAGTACAATGCGCTAACCGCTACACTACCACTCCCGACAGTGGCACGCACAGTGGCAAAGAAAGTGTCACACGCGCACCGTCGCAGGGAAGAGACGAGCGAAGTATGTGGCCCAGTTGTCCCTCGCAGCCATGATGACCCTCTTCTTCAGCAGCTCGTCAGCGGAACTGGCATCCGGGCCCACACGGCAGTCCGCTACCAAACGGACGCATCCCCAATCAGCAAACTGCGTTACTAAACAAACTTCTGGAGGGCAATGGTGTGTATGGCCTCAGATTAATGGGATTTAAATGTCAAGGTGATGTAACTGGGAGGTTTCTCACTGCAATAGGCAATGCTCACACTGATTCATGGCAAGGTAGCACAGCAGCCCATGGCAATGGATGTGGACTCCTCTTGTAACCCGGTAATTTGAGTACACACAACACACAAATTAACGCTGCTGTACACAAACTGAATAGGCCCGATTCACGTGGGTTTTTGCCTCATCCATCACTTATTTAAAACAAAAAACATCCCCATTCCACATTACACATTTCAAAGAACCCACTACTCAACCCACAATTACACAATTATCCGAGGTGACCAGGGTTATGGCGGAGACCATGATGGGGAAAAGTTCTGCAATCACATGTATATTGATCGAATAATCACAATTTTTTTTTATTATAAATATAAGTAAATACACCAGCTATGCACAGGACAAATGTGCAAGAAAGCAAAGATCAAGATCAAAATAGTCATAGAAATTGACAATGTTAATCCTTATAATAAAAATATTAGTCTAATACAAACCAGAAGCCAATTCTCCTGACATCTGCAAATTCAGACCACTATGTTAGCACTGCCAGAAATTTGAAGCTATGTCATATTTCTGTTAATAAATAAAAAAAACACCACTATTAGTGACCCATTATTGCTGTCAGAATGCCCTCATTCAAAAAAACGCCACACAATGTATTTACCACTAGCCGATTCAGTGCGCCACACAATCCTGACTCTCCAATTTACCGACGAATGTGTGGGAGACTTACCCAGCATGCTCTTCATCTTCTCGCGCTCACCAGGAGTGATGCGCAAGCACGTCCCGGCGAACGTGTCGTGGACAACCTGGACACGTACACGGCACGGTTCACTATAAGCTCGGCCTTTGTAATACTGTATGAGCATCAACTTCACAAACCTCACAGGGGCATTCAGGGGGGCTTCTCTATTACTTAAACAAAATTTAAAGCATCTCTGAATTATCTTTTAAAGAGAACCGTTGTGGCGATGGTGGTGGTGGTGGGGGGGGTGGTGTCCACACCTGTTTGAAGAGGAGATTCACCACCATGGGGTTGTTGAGGCTCTCTTTGGGGTAGAACACCTGCTGAGCCACAGTGGAGGTGACATTGATTAAAGTGTCAAAAGCGGTAATGCAATGCCATGACCTAAAGCGTAGAGAATAAGAAATAAATAAAGATCACGAACATATTGGGATATATTTATTGCGGCCAAAAGAATAAAATGTAGTCGTTAATCGTTGCATTATTACGTGCTTAATGAGCACACACATGGAAAACGCTAACTTTGATTTTTGTTATTTCTAAAATATTTTGTCAGGAGCAATGACAAACACAATATGATGACATCATGCCACACTACTGCATGGTTACATGCCTGGGAGAAAGAGAGACCCCTGAGTAGAAACGGCAACAACAGCACAAATCAACAAATGTGTCAACAACACTGCCTTAAAAGGACAAATATAGAGCAGATGGTGGGACACATGCCTCCTTGCGAAGGAGGATTTTCCAGGGCACTTTGCTGTAGATGTACGTGTGGTCGGTGGGCAGCTGGTGCAGCTGAGTCTCTACTCGCTCTTCCTCAGGCTCAATGGGACCCAATCCTGAATCTTCTTCTGGCACAGGTAGAGATAAAATCCCCATTCAAAGCATTAATGACTTCATCGCGTAGATGTCCACGGTTGTGCTGTATAGCTCTCTGATTTGTTTTATGGTTGTACTACGTGTTGCTCGTGTTGTTGTTCCTCAAGAAGCTTCCCCACGTTGAGTGAAACGTCGGACATAATGCCAAACACCACACGATACGACCCGAAAACAAATCATATGAGTTACTGTTTGGTGCGCTAAGCTCATCGCATGGAAAACTATTCACCCGAAAAGTTAAGAAAAAACTGCCATGATTTTTTTACCATGATAAACTTTCATAAATCACGTGAAAGGGCTATTACAATTAACTATAGATCACATAGCACAGTTTTACCAGGTAGTGATGGGATCTAACCATTTGAAGAGTTAAATTATTGCACCAGAATAGCAAAGCAAAATAGGCATCAAAAACGTTGCGTAATGAAACAAATGTAAATAATAATTTAGATCCCTTTATCAATCTACTGCTGGACGAAGGCCCCCCAATGCTGTCATGTTTTGACCATGCTATTCAGTTTGGGTTTGTGAAATGGGAGGGTGCCCAGGACTGGTTCAATTATTAATAGCCACTGATGTTGGCCTTGCGCTGGAAATAAAACTCTTGTCGCCAGATTCAAAGAGCTCTGAACTGCCGGCGGTGCCACCACTGCACCCAAACAACTAATAGTTAAAGAAATAAGAAACCATTTTCTGGCAATATTTTCAGAGGTAGATTCATGTACCTGTTATGAACTGTACAATATGTTCCACAGCCGCTATCTATGCATACCTGTAAAACCCTTATCAGTGCCTACCTTGTTACAGACCAATTCAGACCTTATTGGTCACCCCGTGCCCTTATAAATCTCAACGTTCATCCTACAAAGTCCCATCAAAGGGAGAAACACAAACAAATAGACACATTTTTGTCTTTGTTGCCCGTATTGGAACGGCTGTACGCCTTGTGGGCCGGAAAACTCAATTTCCCTACACAAGAATACGGGTAAACCGTGTGAGTTGACAGGTATGTCTTTGGTTTAGAGTCACCAAAAGAGGTGAGCACTGCTGATGCTTGTTTGCGCAAAGGGATATTTTAATCCACCCCCTCCCCGTGCCAAGCTAAAAAATATTAATAATGACGATGGTCCCTTTGTTCTCTACTTTCTGGATTGATATCCCATGTGCTAAGCTGGCCTAATTCTGTTAAATAATAATTGACATGCAGATAATGACAACATATCAACATGTCAAGACGAAGAAAACACCATTGAACATCACTGTGTTAACATTATGAGACCTCCTTTGCCAGAAACAAGATATAGGAATAGGTTTTACCCTTTTAATTCAAGGACAGTGCATATTATCAGAGTTGTCTTTTTTGTTTGCATTCTGACTGCTTGTGTTGTGGTTTTTTGCAAACATGATGCCTTGAATAAAGGTGTCAGTTTTTGTGCCAGTTAAAAGGGTAAAACCTATTCCTATCATTGTGTTAGTTACATCCATAAAGAAGCACTACACTAATCCACTATTGGCTTCAAAGCAGATTTTTTTTAAGGCCCAGCGCACAACAGCAGTGATGAGAAAGTTTTCAAACTCTAGGCAAACGTGTACTCATGATCTACAGATGGAAAATGGCAAGTAGCTGAGAGAGTACGCATGTTGTACGTAGCAGCTGTAAAATTGTGAAGGTGACCAGGTTGTACCCAGTGACTCTTAGCACCCCCATCTCCTTTACCTTTCCCCAGCCTATGCTATGGCTTGTGGATCTAGAACTTCTTGGGACTGGAGCGTGGGGGCATGTTTTAGATGTGTTTAGGCATGGGGGTTGTTTGAGCCAACGTGACCACACTGGTCATTGTTGTAGAAGGGAACGCATTTTGTCTGTCCTCTGAGTGAGCATCTCACTGGCATGGGTGCCCCATTCCCGTATAGCTACTCAAGTATTAAAGGTTTTCAAGCTTAAATTAGGTTAAGAATTCTGTATAATTTGTATTTATTTTATGGTATTATTGTTACTGTTCTGTAAAAAAAAATGCTAACACTTCCCATTATCTAAATTTGGAGAAAGTTGGTCTCGGCAATAATTGGTATTGAGTGGCTGAGGGAAAGGGAAGTTACTAATTTGCGAGGCTGCTCGTACAACCACGCATCTGCACAATCACAGATGCCGTTAAGTTTGACCCAGTCTAAATTTTAAATTAAAACACATGTTTCAATATACATTACAGAATGTGCAACACATACGATCGGTCTCTATACACTGTGCATTGTGCATTTTGAGAGAAAAGGCTGAAATTATGCCAAAACAGCAACACTAGGGGAGAGCACATAAGCCTCTACAAACATCAAGAACCCTACACCAGGAAGTGCAAACAATGAACGATGATTTGAAGCTTTCGTGACTGCAGGAATCCATACTCTTTGGTTCGTTCGGTCAAGTCAGGTCATCAGATGACGACCGCTTGTGTTGCAATGGAAACGTGATTTGTTTCATTTCATTTCTAACTACGTGACTTGACCGAAATAACCGAAGAGAATGAACGATGAGTGTAACACGTGGTAGGCATTCGCGACCAATATCATCCATAAATAGAGGTTTTTTTGGGTTAGATCGCGTGAATATATAAATGTTGTGTCGTTAAAACCCGGCACCACCCGACACAGCCAACTAGTAAGGGTTGTCACGCAAACAGCACGTGGCCAATTCGTCACTAGCACAGCAGCACCGGTGTGTTGGAGAGCCAAGCCACGACATTTACAATCTGAGTACGACGTTTCGCCAGTAATTAAATCAAAGGGCTCGCATAATGCACATGCATGATGTATGTGCATAATGTACGTGCATGATGTACGTTGCGTCAGTAATCCCCACCCCCCCACATTGTGCAAGAGTGCAGAAGCGTGGTCACCACATCTACGCCTCTATATGAGGAACGAAACAGGTGGACTTATCCACAAAAATGGCTTTCGCCTGATGAAGCTAGTTGTAATTATTGGTGAAACGTCGTACTCGGATTGTAAATGTTGTGGCTTGGCTCTCCAACACACCGGTGTGCTGCACTAGTGACGAATTGGCCACGTTCTGTTTACGTGACGACCCTTACTAGTTGGCTGTGTCGGGTGGTGGCGGGTTTTAACGACACATTTATATATTTACGCGATCTAACCTCCAAAAAGCCTCTATTACGAATGAACGATGAATGGGCCAGATTGAGAGTCCAGCTTTGGAAGACACAGTAATCTACAAAGTACAATGGTGAGTGCTTAGCACATGCCCTCCCAGGATGGTGCACTCCATTCCAGATCCAGAGTTAAAGTGCATCATGTCATTAATTATCACCCATGTCTGCATCATGTTGTGATGAGTTTATCAGGACTGGCAAAGGCAGCAGATTCCTTTCCAAAGCTGGAGTCTGGGTGCCATCTGATAGCAGGTTACCTCTGTTGATAATGGTCTCAGTTCCAAACCTCACAGAGACGCCGCGCTTTGCTGAGCATGCAAAGGCAATGGAGCGAAACACCGTGGAGTTATCGAAAACAAATTCTCAGAAAAATTCACGAAAGTAAATAAGCAACCCGTAAAACAAACCTGTAACTTTAAACACTTTTTTTCAAAATTAACCAATGTTGCGCTTTTCATGTTACATGTATTTGTATTAACAAGTAATATTAACAAGGTTTCATTTTTCAAGTATAAAAGTAAAATGGCATCCACAGTAACATTAATATTGTTGATAATACTTCTGTATTGCTATAATAATTACAGAGGCACAATGACTATTCAATTTCGAGTATCTCACCTGGTAGCGATGGTTTGAGGTTTTTATAATGGCTCCAAGTAAGGGTCACTTAATGAGGATTTCAGCAATGAACCACATCTGAGGACTTGATAAGGTTTTAAAGAGTCACTCACTTATTTATTGTTATAATTCATCTTATTATGCTGACTGAGTCTTAGCACTCTTATTCAGGAGGGTATAGGGAGTCTGTTGTTTTAATCAAACAAACAAAACATGGCCCATGCGAATCAGTATCGCCGAATGTGAACATCAACTTAATCATGGTTATCACAGGAAAAATAATTCAGGATTAGGATCATGTTCTCAGTAGGCGATACTGATTCGCACGGACCCTGCTTTTTATTTAAAGCAGTAGACTCTGTGTATCATGGGACCTTTTTTTTACGAGTATCAATGTATGAAAAATAAGAATAGGTGTTATCTTTTCTTCCAATAAAACAGCTGTTAAGATACTATTTGGTTCTTTCGGTAAAGTCACGCAGGTATAAAATAAAATAAATTAAATCACGAATTTCCGGGCGCAACACAAGCGTCCGTCAGAAGGTGGCACAACCACAGCAAGAAACACTTCAGCAATTTATTTCTTGCTGTGGTGGTCCCACCTGATGACGGACGCTTGTGTTGTGCCCCAAACGTCGTGATTTAATTTATGTTATTTTCTACCTGCGTGACTTTACCGAAAGAACCAAAGAGTATGGATCCCTGCAGTCACGAAAACTTCAAATCTAGCTGTCAAGATGTTCAAACAACAAATAGAAACCTTTTGCTAGATAAGGCACCCCGAGCTATAAATGTTCTGAGAGTGCCTCGTCTTTGTACTTTTCGCCTTTTGGCATTCTCTAGTCTGACACTGGTGAGACTAGGACATAAAAAGGCTGTCTCTAGTGTAGGTCAATCAGTTTCAAAGACAATGCATATATTATTCGAACATGTTTGTTTGTATGTATGTTCACCACAAGTACTGCGTGTGGTTAATGCAGACTTGATTCCTCGAAAAAGGTTTCTATTCGGTGTTTGAACATCTTAATACCTGTTTTATTGCCAAAAAGGGTCAAACCTATTCTTATTTTTCATACAGACTCTGTGTACTTTGGGGGATGCAGTTACAAGCCTTCTGAAAAAAAAAACGTTCTCCCATGCATCCTGTTGCCATTTCAGATATTTTCTCGGAATTCACGGCCATGTGTGTAGGTGAATAGTGCAGAAAAGCACATGCTTCAATGCTCAATAGGGCATGCTGGGTTGTACGTCACACATATCGTGTGCAGGACCTGGGGCTTCTTACACCATAGTATCCCAATGGCTACAAATGTTTGCATCTTTGAAGGGCAGCAGATAACAAGAATGTAATTCCCCAACAACGATTGTAGATATAAGTGTGGGTTTACAAATTGATGGAAGTAAAAATTAACAAGTCAGGTGTGCATAATAATAATAGAAACAAAAACCAAGATTCACGGAAAATTCAGAGGGCCTAGCCTCACTTTTCAATGAGCGTCGAGAGTCGCTGAAGGGCGGGGGAGGAGGCTTAAAGGCCGGGGGGGTCGTCTCGTGAGCCCAAAGCCGCTCTCGCTTCTGCGATCTGTGACCTCTTCCGCTGCAGAGCATGACCACATCCCTACATACACACAACCACACACGACCACTCAACTACACAATCACAAACCACAAAATCGCACGCAACCATAAACACAAACACGCACAACAACAGCCATGCACTACTAAGTGGCAGTAATGCCTCCATAGTGCTTGTGTCAAGGCTGGGTGCACAGGTGTTATGGCTTAACTGACGTGTAAACACAAGCGTGGATGCAGATAGGGGAGACAAGAGGTATAGAGAGAGAGAAAAAAAACAATCGGACGGACAGACACACGGACAACGTCAGAACGAAATTATAGCGGGCATGGATGGCGGTGGTGGAGGGAGAGGGGGTGTTATGGCTTAACTGACCGAGATGACTGGGCGATGCACCACCTGTGTTCCGCACTATGCCAACTTGCTGTACTCTACTCGTTGTTAAGAGCATTGCCCCTCCTCTGTTGCTGGAGGGCGGCTGCCTCCAACTACCCAGTAGCAACCTTCATGAACCTCCTCCACAGACATTGCTGGCAACAGTCGTCATCCACTCACCCCAAGGTTCTCCTGCATCACAACAGTCCATCTCTTCTCTAGACCATATTGCCCCTTTTATCCAGCCAAACAGAAGCTGCTTCGGGATGTGGTGGCTGAGGCAAATTCCATTTCCTTCGCAACGTGTGACTGCTACTCATTCTTCCACTGCCAAATCTGCTTCCGAATCTCCTGAGTGGAAACTGGCTTAAGCCTCCTCATTCTTGGACATGGGATATCACAGATGGGGAGAATGGGACTTCTGTTGGCTTCCAGCTAGCTGGAACACCTCCTTTATCAGACAAGGTGTTTGTGGAGGTCTGGACCAGGTATAGCAACTGCATGAACCACAGTCTTGAAACTTGCCCATTTACCTTGAGAATTAAATGGGGGAAGATGCAAACTCCAGCTGAAAACGACGATCAAATTCTCACTTGCTATCTTTGTTTTTGCCACTCTAACAATAAAGTCCTTGGCCCGAAGCACTGGTAATGTTTTCCTATTATGCATATATTTATCAGTTAAACTGGCACAATATAGCACACGATGCTGCCCATACATTATTTACTTTGTGCAATTTAGTTGGGAGGTAATTTTATAAATTTGAAAATGGGCTCTGCCCTTTGCACACAGCATACCCTTGTGATTGGAGTCACATGACACTTGACAGTCATTTCACGGCAATGTGCTTTGATAATCCTCAGCAAGAATTTTCAGAAAACTGTAATTAGTGGAAACTTCAGTGACAGGGTTGTTAATCACTCGGCTATTTAGCTGTATGAAAAAAAATCTTGATTTGAAGCTTTCGTGACTGCAGGAATCCATACTCTTTGGTTCTTTTGGTAAAGTCACCAAGGTATCAAATAAAATAATATAATGACGGACGCTTGTACCTACGCGACGTTACCAAAAGAACCAAAGAGTATGTCTGCATAAAACAGTTTACAACTTTAATTCATGAAGGGAGGTTTACATGCACAGCAACGCAACTTTTTAATTGACCACGGTTATTGTTGCCTTTGAATAATTAAATTACATATCTGCATTATTATTTAACCTATGATTGTGAAAAGACCATGCTATTTATCAGAGCGGATGGGGATTGCAGGCAGTGGTCTAGGCGTAATGTTTACAAAGGGGGAGGAGGGATGTTTGACCATACGTCACCATGCTTGCCAGTGGAGATTAGATGAGAAACCTCCCTGATAGATAAAAGTGACAATGATCACGCAGGCCTCTCACCAATCGCAGTTTACTATGGCGATGTGCCCTACAATAGCAACGACTTTGATCAGAGCTCTGGGTGACGGCACAAGACTGTAAGTAATGAAGAAATCAGGCTACCTAATTTGTCAGTTACAAGGGAAGCACTAAGTATTAAGTAAGTATATCTACAGTAGTACTACTATTACAATTCTACTGGCAATTAACTGTTAAGAGTAATGCTGGAATAACAATTTGCTCGCGAAACTATCTACTTTACAATACCAACAGTATTCCTACTGATGCTATTATAATGGATGTATTGTCATGGAGAATACCACACACACGCAACTGGGACTGTGTGCCTGTAATCAACGTCTAAACGGTGAGTGGATGTTGCTCACACGCAGGTCTGGTGCTCGAGGCTTCATCTGTAGGATCGCCATGGCCTCCATATGTGGATCGGGCTTCTTCACAAACGCCTTTCCCGTTCCTCTTCTGCTCCAGCAAAATGCATGCGCACACAAAAGTGACTTTGAATTGAACGAGCGGACATTTAGAAAGGCAAAAGAAACAAAGTAGCGGACGTATCTGTGGAAAAAGTCTGCGCTCAAACACTCCCTTGTAAGCTCAGGAATGTGTCTGACTGCCTGTGTACAATACATATTCCCATTGTTTACAGATTCTTTCAGATGCAGTCGGATTTACATGCTCTGCAAATGCAAATTGGCATTGTAGAGTTTGCAGCTCAAACTATTGTTAATAAACTTCACCAATTTATTCCACCACTCGGGTCTAACACTGTGTCATATCATCCAAACGGTTTTCAACCACCACATCAAAGTATAAAACACTTATTATTCTGCATCTTTCCTCACACTGTTCGACTTTGGAATTCCCTTCCATCTTCTATGTTCCGAAGATGTTCCAACCTTGCTCAATTAAAACAACCCATTATCCCATGTGTTACACTTTCAAGAGTGTTGTTGTGCATTGCTGGCCTTTGGGCCTGTGCTCAGCAATCAAGATGTGATCAAAAACAATACGAGCAGAGAATCCTCAAGCAGAAATAAACAGCCGGACACACTAGCTTCCTGTCATGTGCAAAATTACTCATAAAGTAGTTGCTCCAACACCCCAGGCAGCTGCCAAGCAGCTATTTGGCTAAGCAGGTACCTACTCAGTAAACGTGCAATGTCGGGCCAACATTGGCATGTGTTTGGAACCGAGGTTCACCGAACGTTGGCCCAACGTTCCATTTTTACCGAGTAGCTAGCACTGAAGGGTTCGGGTCAGGGGAACATACCGCGCGAGAGCGGACTGTGGCTCAGCGGGCGGCGTCAGCGTGCTGGCTGGCTGAGTGTGGAACTCCTTGATGATGTTGCGGATGTTTTGTGTTGGCTCGGGCCGGTAGTCGCGGCTCGGCTGCAGGGGCCGCATTCGCCCCTCCCACTCTCCGTCTGCCGCAACAAACGCACGGGAGTCCTGAAATTGGTAACCATTACATTGTGTAATGTACGGCTCTTTTATCAGGCCATCACTGGATAATGGTATCTCCATGCCGTGTCAGTTGTTTCATCATACTTCACCACGCTGGGCAGTGTGGGATAAAGAGGAGATCCAAGCACAGGTTCAGATATCACTTGCCACTGATGTTTGCTGTGGCCATGAATCTAAATACTCGACACATTACTTATAAATGATTTACTAAAGTATTCACCATAAAGTGTCATAGTAATCATCAATTTAAACGTGCTGCTTTAGCTGTGGGTTTTACTGTGTCTCTCACTCTTTCAGAGGGGATCAGAGCTACCTTATTACGTGGTTTTGAATCCTATTGGAGGTTATCTACCTGATGAAATAAACCTTCAAATTTACACCAGCTGCTGTGAGGATAGTTTTATCCTGGGAAGATCCAAATTCTACATCAGTCCATGCTGAGAAATAAACACGGTACTATACATGTCATGGAGAGCACCCTAAGTGTTTAATAAGATCTCACTCACATTGTAGACACAGACACAAATGCCTTGAGGCTATGGCACAATTTGCAACAAACTCTGATTTACTCTGATATGATTACATACCATCCTGATGCGGGTAGCTTGATTGCTGAAAAAAAATACCACACCATATAAGTTAATTTCTGTCCTTTCTTTTAGTTTTCACACACCTATTTGAAATCCACATCCTCTGTTTATATTACATACATGTATACTATGCAATGCAGTTACAGTACATATAGCAAGTGTGCTCCATGTGCTGGACATACAGTAAAAACCTTGGATTGTGCGTAACTTGGTCTGCGAGTGTTTTGCAAGACGAGCAAAACATTTTAAGAAATTTTAACTTGATAAACGAGCGAGGTCTTGCAATACGAGTAGTACGTATACGCTTTGTCTGCCGAGCGTCACGTGATCACAACTGAGCCAATGGTTCTTCTCTCTCTCTCTGCGGGATTGTGGGTAATCGTCTCCCATGCTCGGTCTCAGTCGGCGTGCCTCACTCGCATAGTCAACATCCGTGCGAGCGTGCCTCACTCAAATGAGATTAGGGAGATGTGTAAAATGTGGGAAACAGTGCAACATTTTGTAGAAAAGCACCACCCGAATAAGGCTGTAGCAGTGCGAGCGATGAATCTGTTTAACGGCAATGCAATGTCACATTTCCGCGAAATCCTCAAAAGGAGGCAAAAGCAAGTGTCATTGGATAGGTTCCAAGTTAAAGTCGCACAAAAATAACAAGATTCCAGTGAGCCAACAGATAGCAGTGATTCCGGTAGTGACAGTGGAAGTCGTCCTACACAATAACCCTTCTCTCCTCTCTCGTCTCCCTCACACCAGCCACGATTACATTTAATTAATAAGTTTAATTATTTTATATTAAATTTAAATAATAAAACTATGAAAAGGTATTTTGTATTAATCATTTTTATGTTAATATTTTTAGCTTGTGGAACGAATCATATGAGTTTCCTTGATTTCTTATGGGGAAATTCGCTTTGATATACGAGTGCTTTGGATTACAAACATGTTTCCAGAAGGAATTATGCTCGCAATCCAAGGTTTTACTGTGTTACCATAAATAATATGTATTCATTATAGGTTAATTGAGAATAATTATATGTCTGTTATTTTCCCAAACAATGTAAGTGGGAAAATTCCCACCCGTTGACAATAGATCATTGTATCTCAGATGGGCCGCACTGAGTGTCATGCAGCATCTCTGAATTCCAATTGGTGACCACCTGCACTGGTCACCTGAACCTGAGTGCTTCTCAACTGGGAGACACAAACAGCTGGCGCCCCACACTGACCTCGGCAACTCCAGATGCTGCGTTGTTGCCATCGCCCGCTGCCGCGGGGCTGGAGGTGGCAGCATTGGGCTCGGAGCCCGGCTTGTGTTGGTACATCATTTGGAGAGCCATCTGCTGGGCCTGCGGGCGTTGGGGACACGGCGTATGTCACACAATTCTAATGCAATTGTTTTTTTGTTTTCGTTGTGCTCTCATATGACCCGGTGGGCCCCGCTTCGGTGTTTAGGTCTAATAGGGTGAAACGCAATCTCAGCGATCCTGATAGCTACACCGTTCGTACATAATCGAGGAAAGGAGATTGAGGTGGCTGAGCGGCATACCGGGCTTACCCCTTTTCAGAGCACCAGAGGTGAAGTCAAGAGTATGCAGAGGCATAAGGAGAATTTCATCTGGGTAATGTTATTATTTCAAGTATGCCTGATATACATAGTCATGCAATGTTACAATTATATATGCCAACATAACCATTTTCCAAATCATGTTGGGCGACAGGGTGGAGCAGTGGTAACAATTGTGCCTCACAGCAAGAAGGTCCTGGGTCCGATTTCCTTTGAAGTGGTGCTCATCTTCCATTTACAGCTTTCAGCCCGTGGCGAAAATTCCACATTCCTGGGGTGGGGGGTTAGTCTATCCATTGCATAGCCATTGTTGACTTTCCCACAGGGTATTTAAGTGGTAAAACATCCTGAAAATGAATACACCTCCAATCGTGCCTTTGGGTTGTGTATGGCACCTGCTCAACCACACTTCCCCGAGACAATGGCACACACAATGAGGGGAGTGTGCCCAACGCCGCCCGTTCGGTGAAGCGCACGGCAGGTGTGTAGCCTGTCTCGTAAGCGGGGTCGCGTGCACTGACCAGCAGGTAGGCTTGCTGTTGCAGTAGGGCTTGCTGTTGGGCCATTACGTCAGGAGACATCACCATGGCTGAGGGCGACAACGAAGCAATAAGCGATGCATTGTGAAATAATCTGAGCACCAGCGCAGACTTTGGCCCAAAGGTCCTTACAGCTTGATGCATCACTTACATCTCTGAACTTCATTGGTGTTCATCTCAAGTTTCTAGATTACAATTTAACTACTCACAGTTAATACATATCTGACTAACATTATTCAGTGTAACGTCCAATATATAATGCCCAATATAATGATCATTCCACCAAGGTCTAAAATCCTTGACCCAATGTCAACAGTAAACAAGGACAGACCCTTAGTGTCAATACATCTGTAATTGCAGCCATTGATGTGTGTATTATGAATGACAAACCGATCGATTGATTCGTCGAAGGAAACGTGGGCAGCTTCAATGGCTGATGAAGTGGTGGTTGGTGAATGAATGGTTCTAATGTATGGGTCTTACCCTGTATGCCAGGTAGGGAGACCATCTCCCCTGGCATCACCTGCACTACAGAGCCAACTGCAGGAGACATCGTCAGCATAACAACATCCATTAATTTTAAGAGACTGCTCAAGAAGAACCACGGGCGACTCCTCTCATAACCTGGCCACGCTGGGACCGTGCCACAAAACCAGAAAAACTTTATAGGAAACCCAAGGGTGAGGGGCCCAATGATAGTAATATTTTAAACTTGTAACACGCCGCATAGTATTCAATCACTCTCGAAGAGAGAATAACACAGAGGCACGAACAACGACTGTCAAGCAGGAATGTATTTGCACATACCTGCATGTGTACCTGTGAGAACGCATGTTTTTGTGTGTGTGGCTGCGCTACAAATCCGCCGACCTGAGTTCAATTCCCGCTCACGGCCAACACCAGTGACGATTATCTGAACCGGTCCTGGGCCTCCCCTAGATCGACAAATGAGTACCTGGTGCGGTTTGTAAACATCGCCACTAGGGAGACAAAGGCGGCTGGGCGTGGTGCTGGCCAACCACCCCATCGTGTGCCATGTCGGCTTTCATAGGTGCTCGCTAAAACCACTTGCCGCAACAGTCTGTTAAGGCTATACGGGGGATCTTTGTCTTTGTTTGTGGCTGCACACACTGTACCGGGTGTCTGCTGGGGTGGTGGTCCCGCTGCCTGTGGGTTGGGCTGGCTGCTGGAACCTGGACCCACCCTGCCGCCTCCCTTGAGCTGCCGGTTGAGCGCCGCCGCGCGTTCCATGTCCTGCGAGTGGCACAGAGCACGATCAGCACAGTCCCTGCGATCGCCATTTGCCATCATCATGTCATATTTTTTTGTGTGCCTCCCATGCAAGTACATGTGGAGGTGCCCTGTGGCAGGGGACCCCCGGTGGCAGCTGTCCCTGTGTGGCACAAGGCGAATGCAGCATCGGCCTGCAAGTGGATCAGGGTCTGCTGGTAGGGGTCGATGCTGCCATGTGTCTTGTTTGAGAGTTATTGATCAAATTTTTACCATAACACGGCTTACTCTTTTCCAATAACACCGTGGGATCTTTAACGTCTACTGTAAAGCAGGCAACATGTATTTATGGTTTATACACTTGCAGTATTTAACCAGCGGCTTGAATCGCAAACCTCGGCAACAAGTGACAATTGCGACACCCTGAGCCATGCATTGCTGAAGCTTAATTTTAAGACCACACATTATTCAAGAGGAGCTTTGTCTACAACATAGGCTTAATAGCCTACACCTTGTTGTCACAACTCGGTGAATATTTCCACAGGTACAAGCTTCTATTGTTTAAACAGATCCTCCTAGAAATCCATTGTTCTAAAATAATAAAAAAAATTGAATGGCTATATTTTTAAACAGCTAACCTCCGTTATGGATTTATTTCTTGATCAACCATTGAGACTATGAAGTGAATGACACAGTCACATACAGGGCAAGAGGTGTCCAGGTGGCAGTACAGGACCAAGGTACAGTAAGTAAAATTTTGACTTAAAACTTTCGCGACTGCAGGAATTCATATTCTACGGTTCTTTCGGTAAAGTCACGTGGATAGAAATATCGATCGCAACACAAGCGGTCATCATCAGGAACTCCTGATGATGACCGCGTGTGTTGCGATCGAAACATCGTGATATTTTTATTCACTTCATTTTTATTATTTTATTGTTATTATTTTTTCTATCGACGTGACTGTACGAAAAGAACCATAGAATACGTACAGTAAGTTGATTGCTGGCCTATCTGCAATGATTGTTGAGTGTTCACCAGCAAGCCTGAACCACGATTATAAGAAGACCTCCACGCGCTGTCACCATGTCCCCAGTCCTGTGCCACAATGATCCACGTAGCACCTGGACACGAGCTAACTTCAGCGCTTCACTTTGTGGGGCACACTTGGCTTGGCGAGTTCCTTCCTTCGACTGCCACTTCACTACTCTTTGGTTCTATTGGGTAAAGTCACGTAGGTGAAAATAAAATAACAAAAAAATTAACAAGTCTCCACCATCAGCCACCATTCTCCTTCCAGCGATGTGCCCTGCCCAACCATGCTTACTTTATTAACATGTAGCTTTTTGCAGGCATTATTGATTTCAATTTATACCATTGGTCGTGACAATTGTTATTCAACATACCAGTGAGCGGAAACAATAGTAATTGGCAAGTTAAATGCTTACTCTTTGGTTCTATTCGGTAAAGTCACGTAGGTAAAAAATAAAACAACAAAAATCACGACGTTTCGGCCACAACACAAGCGGCCTTCATCAGGTGAAGGGACCAGCTTGTCTCGAAGACTGCGCTGGAGTGAAACAGAGCCAAGCTCAGACTGCGACCTTTAAGCTGTGTGAGCTTGGCTCTGTTTCACTCCAGTGCAGTCTTCGAGACAGGCTGGTCCCTTCACCTGATGAAGGCCGCTTGTGTTGTGGCCAAAACGTCGTGATTTTTTACGTTTAATTTTTTACCTACGTGACTTTACCGAATACAACCAAAGAGTATGGATCCTTGCAGTCACGAAAGCTTCAAATCTAGAAGTTAAATGCTTGTAGACGTGACCATTCAATTTGTTTGGCTCTGTCGGGTGGTAAGGATTTCACGACAAAAGATTTGCCAGATTATCACGTGATGTAAACAAAAGTAACTTTGAACCATAGCAGGGCACTGCGGTGGCGAGATGTCAACTCCCTCACCTAGTATAACAGGAGGTCATGGGTTCAATCCCGACCTTGACGCCTGTATATATGGAGTTTGCGTGTTCTTCCTGTGGTTGTGTGGATTTTACTCTGGGTCCTCTGGTTTTTCCCTCCACATTTAGGAACATACGTTTAGAGTATTTGGCTGCTATAAATTTCCACATGATAAGCCACTTCGTTGAGCTATCATTTGTGGCCAGGTCGCTTATGAAATGTAGCTATATAATATTTCAGTAGGCCTTACCTGGTAAAAAAAAACACACTTTTCTTCAGAGTCAATAGGATATCCATAACTTGCATATGTTCTCTAAGCTATGTGTTCTTCTTTCTGTTTCTCAGTATGAATCCAAATAGACACCTGTCAATAAATTATTTGCAGAGTCAGTGGTAATCCCCTCATATATGTATGCTTTCATCATATATTTAGAACTTCGCATCACTTACCGCTGCGCCAAATGACAGCACGGGGTCAAAGAGGCTGTCCAGGTACTGGTCCATAGTCTTCTGGGAACGCTGGTCACTGTTTGTCTCGGATTCTGGAAGGAAGGAGGAATAGAAATTATGACAGCCTGGGGTTTGACAGCCACCATCGAGCCAATGATTAATAAGTTGATAGTTTGATTTCAGAATGTGTTCTCCCCTGTATCGTGGATGTTATCAAATCCCTTGTGATGTCATGGCAAGAGTTGGCCCACTCAGAACAACTTTCATAGGCTCAACTATCAAATGCTAAATTACAATATTTACATGTCCATAATGTGTATGAAACAACTGTCCCATCACAAATATAACGACTGTTAAATAAGGCTACATTTCCTTTGGCGAATTTTCTCAATTTGTTCAATGGGGCAAAACACCACAACACAATGACACGCCCTTCAATGAATGACATTAAAGAGTTATCGTCTATTTTTCAGAAGGTAACATGCTTTGCTAATTCCCCACAAAAATTCATTATCAGGCAGCTTCACCCATCCACTCATCACGCTTCATACAAACTCAACCAGCGGCCATGTGAAGACCATGAGGCTGCCCAGGCAAATTTCCTCACCTCCAAAGCCAGCGAGCGAAGCCCGAGGCATATAAAAATAAACAGCTTCGCAGCGTTTACACCATTGGAAACCTCATTTGCCAGTAACAAAATATGATAATTGGTTTTTAACCCTTTTATCTGGCAAGAAAACTGACACCTTTTTTCATCAATTTCAAGGACAGTGCATACATTATCAGAGTTGTTGTTTTTTGTTTGCGTTCCGACCGCAGGTATTGTGGTCAATGTAAACATGACTCCTTGTAAAAAAGGTGTCAGTTTTGTTGCCAGATAAAAGGGTTAAAAACCAATTATCAGCTTCGCAGCGATTCGACAAATTGTGATCTGGGGGTCGTGATTTGATTCAAGAAAGGATAGTTCTTTGTTTATTTTTTACCATCTCATTTGTATTTCTTCTCATTTGTGCCATCTCATCTATAAAATGTTGTCTGCTTCATTGTCCTAAATGTACTATAATCATAATACGTGTATATGTGTATAAGCCGGGAATCCATAATTCTTACGCAATTTCATGCTTCTATCTTCAGCAAAATAATTTATATTTAATTGATAAATCGATGCATCGTCACATGGCTAACCAGGCCCCATTGGCATCAGTGACCCAGTAGGAGTGGGAGAGAGCTCACCGGGTGAGTAGGGGCGGGAGAAATATCCATCCGAGTCGGAGAGGCTGGCAGGAGGGTGTGGGGGTGCCTTGGCACGGGGTGGGAAGGGCATGTCCTCGTCGGTCTCATAGGCACTGCCACCCGACCTGCCGCGGAAACACCACGCCACACGGACACACGCACACACACCCATGTCCAAAACAGCCTTGCTCTCACATTTTGTCACTCTGTGTCTGTTTCCTTCTATTCGTTCACCTGAACGTAACATTAACATATAATATCCATGGATCGTAACCACTGTCATATCTTCTTCTATGTTCAATTCCAAGCATGCATAATCCAATCAGTCAATCCTAATTAGTGGATCTACTCAAGCTCATTGCTGATTGGGCATCATGGCAGCTGCAGGGAATCATAGAGCCTCTATAGAAGTAAACCCGTCTCGATATTGTAATACCTTCGACGTAAACTTTTACTCTTCCGTGGTTTGGTAATCATTCATTATCATGGTAATTTTCGAACATCTACTCTTAGTTTGGTTTTAACTGTACTAATTATAAAATATATTGTTAGAGAATATTACAGGTAGTCCTCTACTTACGATAGAGATGCGTTACGACAACCCCATCGTAAGTCAAAAAATTGTAAGTCGAAGATGGCCTAGCCTACCCAGGAGTCTTAAATAATGGTGATAATTTAGCAAAACAGAGCAATTTACAATACCGTACTGTATTAACGATATACTGTTTGCATTTATTAATTACAATACTGTATTGCACGGTAAAATGTAAAGTAAAAACAAGGTAAATTCTTAGCCTACCTATATGAACTGCAATTTAATAGAAAGTTTTTTCAGGAAACAATCCTATCTGTATCACACAAGCCGGGAGATGCGTACATCCCAGTAGCGTCCCAACGTACACTATCGTACCTCGTACGCTACTGCGTTTGCCTGCCGCGCGAAATTTTAAATATTTTACAATTTTGCCGTGTCGCTATCGCCATCGTAAGATCGAAATATCGTAAGTCGGACCATCGTAACTCGGGCACTATCTGTATATGATTATTGTAGACTGTAATTGTATTTTTAATAATCTATTATTATTCATATAAAATCAGATATAAACTGTGCCAGAACAGATTGACTGACCGATTCTGATCGATTCCAAGGAATCGTGAATGATATTGCTTGATTCAGAATCAGATTTTTAAATACAATCCGGGCCACACGATCGTGAAAAATAAAACATGAACCGCAGACCCTAGAAAAGGCACACTATTGGTTATTGTTCTTGGTAAGGCTGGCAATCCTGTGGCAATTGAGGGCCAGAAACCTAACTTCCCATAGAAGACGAGTGACACTCTGGGGTCCACGGTGGGAGGGGAGTGGGGAAGATTGGGGGGCGGGGGATTGGCTCGTACGAGTCCTTGCCGTGACCGCTGTTGTGCTGGGGCGGCAGGAAGCTGCACGTCTGTGTTGGGAAGGAGGGCGGCAGCTCCAGGTGAGAGACGAGGTCGAGCACGTGCTCGTGACCCGGCAGCTCGTTCGTCCGCGCACCTTGCTGCAGGCTCACCGACCAACCCCGGCAGCTCTCACTCGCACCCCTAAAACATTCGTACGAGCAATTAAGAACATTGGTCTTTTGGCGAGCCATCAAACAAAGACAGTTACTGCCTCGCGTGCTTTCAGATGCGCTTCTCTGGAGCTATGTACTCTCAATTTTTTTAATTGAAAAGTTATCCCTTTAGAACTACATTTTGTGTTTAGTTTCTTGTCCTGCCCCTGCACCTCCGATTAACACAGTTGGCTCCGTAAGATGTGAAAGAGGTTCAACATACATACATATAGACATACGTATGGAAGAGGACCTCCCAATGCCACAACGTGGAGACGCACCTGCGCTGCAGGATGGAGGCTCCGAGCTGTTCCCCGGTCGTCCATGACTCCACAGGGCACAGCAGCGTCTCACCTGAGGGAGGGCAGGGAGGGAAGAGGTTCCCAGTAGGAGATGGAAGATATTCTATTGTTTATGCATGCTTACACCTGTCAAGGTAAAACACCTGGGATGTTATTATACTCCTGCATATGTTGACCTCCGACTGAGCATTGGCAATAATAAAGGTGGCCAGGTGTTTTCAGTCCGTGCAGGAAACATGGAGGTATAGCAGTGAGTGAGGAATTCTGTAGGTGACAGGAGGTATACTGTAAGAGTGGGGAAGCTGTAGATCACTGCAGGTAGTAGAGTTAGTGGAGAAGCTGTAGATCACTGCAGGTAGCAAAATGAGTGAGGATGCTGTAGATCACTGGAGATTTGTACCGTTGTGGCAGGCAACCTCGAGGGCCATGGCGGCGTGGTTCTTCGCGGCCACCCACTCGAGCAGGCAGGGCGGGAAGGTGCGTGATGCTCCGGGCTCCACGGAGTTCGCGGACATTCCCTGCAGCAACTTGTGCTGGCACGTGGCGCGATATCCGTTATACGCGTGGTCCGACACGTACCTACACAAATAAAGATCCCCCACGTGACCTCCATCCATTCACCACTCACCCACTCACGCTATCACATGCTCAGACGCACGCACTCTGTCGTGCACTTACATTCTTACACAAAGACAAAGAACCCCAGTGTGTAGCCTACGTAGGCTGTTGGGGAAAGTGTTGTTAACAAGCCACCTATGAAGGGCATCGCTGCACCAGGTACTTATTTTGGGCTGAATCGACATCGGGGAGGCCCAGGACCGCTTCATAAATTCCACCATTTCTCAATCCACTCACAGATCAATTGCTCGAGTTGAATTGGAGGGAGGTTAGAGGGGACCAGTTTTGATATCACTTACCACTCATGTTTACAGTGCCTGGGAATTTTGCTCAGATTGTCAGGCACACCACCGCTATGTATGTATGTTGAGCTTTTTTGTTCACCATACATAGCCAACCGTACAGTTGGCTATGTATGGGTACAGGATTTAAGCATCGTGTCCAAAATGTACATTTATCAATACAAATTTTACACGCCCGTTAGTAGCTGCACACACAGACAATTGCACGCGTGCACTCACTTGAGCAGGTACTTCTCCAGTCGGGGCGAGGGCGAGAAGGAGCTAAGGCAGGCAGCCATGAGCAGCCACCCTTGCTCTTCTTCCCTGGGTTGCTCGTTGTGCCACGTCTGATTGGCCAATTGGCACAACAGCTCATCCCGCAGACGCACGCACGCCAGGCCCCTCTGCACCACGTAGCAGCCGAAGAGGAACTCGTGCAGGGAGTCCAGGTCAGAGCTGCCCATGAACCTCATCACCTGAGCGAGGAGGAAAGACACACGCAGCAGAGTGGAGGTGCCGCATGTCTCTAAGAGAATGTTTGTGCAACCTCGGGACACACTCCTCAGAATGCAGCCTCCAGAATCCTATTCTCTGGAAGTAATGACATGGACGCTGCCGTGTAAGATCATCGCGGTTGTGCTGCGTGTTGTTCTGAATGTCGTTCGGCATGATGTCTGACGTTTCACTCCCAGCACGGAACAACTTAAGAACCCATTGGAGGGCAATAACATGACTACATCTTAGCTGAATTTATAAAAGTCTGCTCTTTGTAGACTGTTTGAAGGGCACAAGGGTACTTAACTGTCACCGCACTCTCAAGGCAGTTATCGACATTTATTATTCATATAGCGTTGCACACCTGTGCGACAGGTCTTGAGACGCTGAAGGGCTTTAGCTTTCAAACCCCACCCATTGGTAACAGACAAATCCAAAAACACAGCTCACAATAACATAGAATACATAAGATACAAGTATTTTACTCAAGAAAGTGGTACCACAGGATTAGCTTTCATAAATAATGGAAAATTAAGTTATTCAGTAAGCCAGTTTAATCTGGTCACTATATACGCTGTACTGAGCAATGAAAGTTGTCAGTCCATCCATCTGATGCATCTTCTTTTCATCAATCTGATTAGGGATGGACATACGGGTTGCACGCTCTAGAATCTTCAAGTGAAGGAAGTTTGAGGTGGAGGGCATGGTAGACACGTAGAAAATATCACCATAAATAAAGTGCTAACATAGTCAAATACCATCTACCCATAAAATCTATGTGATCCACGAAAATGGCAGGAGATTAATCCGACAGCACTGTAAAAGTGTTGTTTGTATGTTGAACTTCTTTCGCACTGTACGTAGTCAACCGTGGTAATCGTCGCTATTCAGCAAACGGCCTGCTGGCACCATCCGGGACGAGAACTCTCACCAGCTTGAGGAGCTCCACGGCCTCGGATCTCAGGTCCTCCTCCAGCAGGGTGATGGGTGAGCGCGGGGACGACGTCAGCACGCCAAACTGCTGATCCTGACGAACGGCATCGCGGCCAAGTTAATTGATTCAATATAAAGAAATATCATACGGGCATCTTGGATTCAAAGGCAGGACGCAAGTCACCCTTGAAAAAAGAGCAAATGTTCATTGTGTATCGGTAAGTTTATTTAATCTCCTGGTTAAATACGAGAGGTGATGGGTCAGCGACTGACAACGGGCATTAACCCCGTCAGCCGCGTTGTCGGTTCTTCCCGGTAAGGTGCCTGGAGGGACGTGCGCTGCAGGAACGCGTGAACTGTTTATGAGAGCAGGTTCGCGTCGCAAAGCTGCCCTTGCCTTGAAGTGAATCCTGGCGAACTTGGAGAAGGGGAAGTTGTTGACGTCGAGCGGAAGAGTGGGCTGCAGGGTCTGGCTGATGGGCGGCTGGCAGGTGATGACCACGTGGCCATCGTGCACGTGCTGCAATTCTGGAGGGTGTGCACGCACGCAATCACGCACACAAATGTTGTTTCACTGTATAAACTGTCTAAATACGAGAGAGACAAAGACTCGCAGACTGTTGGATTTGCTGTTACTTTGTGAGCGCCTATTAAGACCTATTCAGATAGGCAATGGCAAACAGAATGGTGGTCTGGGCAGCATTGCACCTCATCGCATTACTTTTTCCAGCGCTAAAGCTGACAATAAAACACCTGATATCAATTGTAGGCTTAAGTCTACCCACATCAAATTGCCTCCAGTTTGCATGGCCAGGGATCAGACCTGGATTACTGGGGTTTTAGCAAAGACAAAGATCTCCCGTAGGGCTTTTAACAGACTGTATCGCAAGAGCTGTTAGTGAGCACCAATGAAGGCCGGCACAGCTCACGGGGAGGTAGGTTGTCAACACCACACCCGGCCGCCTTTGTCTCTCTCGTGGTGATGTTTACATAGCACACCAGATACTCGACAAAGCAAGCCACAATCTTGCTGCACTTTGTTACTGGGCCACTCGTAGCGTGCTGGTATGGTTTGCGCAATGGGCTGAGTAAAAAAAGGGGGCCCTTTGACACAACTCACCGCGGCTGGCCTGCAGAACGGCCGCAAGCTCGGCTGGTATCTCCAGCTGAGACACATTCACGCCCTCTCTCCTGGGCCCTGCCTGAAGCGGATGTCAGGAATTAGCAGCCAGGTTATCGCAAGCCGCACAAATACATAACCACAGTAAGGGCAATTATGGTTTAGCACGCACATGTTTACAGTAACTCGTAATCCAAATGGCGTTTTCCAGGTTAGGTCACGAGTTGAGCATTTTTTCCTCTCTCAAGCTTTTGCCACACACTACTTCGTATATCTTTAGGAGTTGAAGTGAAGACTCACACACGTTTAGTGAATGTGCAACACAAAATTGTTATGAAATGGTAATTTTTTTTATGTTGTCTCAACACCTTCATTGTCCACGATGCAACAGTTTGGCCAAAACACTGCATGGTGATAAACAGGTAAAAGTTGATGATCTGTTACAAATTGGGTGCGTAATTTGTAAGAGATCAGAGATGCTGAATGATTCTCTGACCGATACCTTGTTAATGTTTTAACCCACCTTCCAAGATTTACCCTCCATCTCTGCACGTCTCCGATCGTCGTCCCTTGCCTGCAGAGGACAAAATGAGATTAAGTAATTATAGATTTGAAGATTAAGTAACATTTTATTTAAAACAAATGTTTAAAATACGTGTATATTACAGCTTTATTACATTGTTCAAGTAAATATTCGGGCACCATTTCATGTCGTGCTTTTACAAGAAAGTCGAATTTCGAAGACCAAGGTTAGGACCAGGTTCACAGGCTTCATAACATAGTGTGGCTCCCACAATGAAATATACATTCTCAGTGTGTCACTCTACAGAGGGTAACTCTTACATGGACTTGTGCTTAAAGTTAACAAAACTAGTCGAGAAGCATTTTGCCTCATGCAACCACAGTTCACATGAAATCCTTGCCTCAAGCAACATTTTCATTTACGACCATAAAGACAACTGACTAAAAGAAAATTAGAAATAATAATAACATGGGTGATAGTTATAAGTTTTTCACAAGTTCTCTGGTATTCAGAGCACTACTTTTTCCCCAATATGGAAATAAGCAGTTTCGAGCTGGCCACGTGGCTCAGAGGCCAGAGCAAAGGGATAGCAACTGCTGAGGTCCTAGGTGAAAATCCAGGCAGCAGTGTGTGCTTAAACTGGGGCCCTCAAGGGTATAGAGTTCATGGTTTCAGCCTGGTCATCAATTAATGTACAACATCAAAAAAAGTCACATTAAATTTGGCTTGGCACTTAATTTGGCAAAAAATTAAGATCCGACGATTCAAATGCCAGCTTGACTGTCATGCGACGAAACCTCACTCATATGCGCGGTTGGCGACGTACAGTGCGAAAGAAGTTCAACATACATACGGAGCAAGTGAGAGGTGCTGCCGTCTACAGAGTGTGGACCAGAGGTCACTTGAAGGTGTCTCGGTGATGCTGTATCCACTTCCGTGTGTTGTTGTCCAACACAAAGGGTCGCACTACTTTGCGAGAGATCCAAATGCTAATCGAGATAAAATTGGGGAAAATTTGCTGAAGTGAAGAAAATGTGGAATTTCCACCACTGCTTCGGGGCATTCAATGAGATGGATATATATTGTTCTATGCTTGTGTGAACAGGCACATTTGTTTGTGCATTGAACTTCAAAAATACAAACTATAAACGGAACATTTTATATGACCAGTGGGTAAGAGCACAAGTAAAGTCAATGATGGTAATGTATGCTTATTATTACTATGGGGTTTCTTTTTTACCCAGGAAAGCCTCACTGAGTTTCAAGACTTTTCAGGAATGTTCTGCCAAGTTTTCACCATTGAGGGCGATGAGTCTAATCTCAATGGAGTAATGTGTATGTCTTTTTTACAACACTTGGATGTTTTGGCAATGCCAGTTCCATTGCATTGTTCTTTTTTAAGCTATGGGAACCTGGAGGAGACCTGGAGGAGACCTGTGCCAAACAAGAAAACGGACAAACTCCACACGGAAATGCACCCAAGTTGGGAATCAAACCTAAACCCTTCTTGCTGTGAGGCACCACGTCGCCACCCTGCCGCCTAATAGCCCGACCTACAGCTTTCACCACCCTATAGCAGAATTCATTCGCAATGACTATCGACTGTACAGTGGCATGCAAAACGATTCGAGACCATTACATTTTTTCTGGGTTATTTTTGTAATTATTGAACCACTCCCAGACATGCAACCCTTTGAAAAATCCAGAGAAGAACCCATAAGGCAAAACAAAATGCTATTACACTATTGTCCTTTTCTTTTAGGTTGGCAGAAGAGGCCAAACTGCCTCATCTTAGAACATTTGAGGTCATCAATAAACAAATGCGTTTATAGTGTTAAGTTAGTAAGTTAGTTTCCTAGATTTGAAGCTTTCGTGACTGCAAAGATCCATACTCCTTGGTGTGGATCCTTGCAGTTGCCTACGTGACTTTACCGAATAGAACCAAGGAGTAAGTTAGTTTCCTCTTCATTTACATGTTCTTTAAATTTCAGAACGTGACAGCACTATGCATATAGCGGATTGGATATTCATACCAGCTTAGTTTACCCAAGTGTATCACACATATTATGGTTTGTGGTCAAACAGTGCATCACATGTTGCTAGACTGATTAATAGATGTATTTTTATTTTATTGTTTCCCTTCTACGTGACTTTACCGAAAGAACGAATAATAAGATGTACTTTACTTCAATAAATCAGGTGATAATTACTAAGATGCAAGAGCTCTTTCTTAAGTGTATTGCTGTACAGAGCTGGCATAACCTCATTCCATCTCGCCATTATTCCACCAAATTAGGTGTAAAAAAATGTACAGCAGCATCAGTAACCAGATATCTGAAGCATATATCAGGGAATGTCATGTTTAAGCAATGACTTAACAGTGGCAAAAGTTTGTGTTCCAGTCTCATGAGCATTAGATGAACAGATGATGTATGTAACACCACCTCCTCCAGTCTCCATTGTAACAGGCAACTTAAACCACTGTCCATGTTGTTCCACTTGCCTCATGTGCACACGTTTTAGTTGTGTTAAGTCAAGTAGTTTTTTTAAAAATCATCCTTGTTTAATGAATGTCTCTTTTCCATTGAAGAGATTCCACACCAAATGCTATTTTTTTACGTGAAGACTTGTTTTCCAGTTGGGACCCTAATAGCCGGTTTAAGTCAGATTTACTGAAAAAAGCAACAGTCCATTTGCATATAAGTCACTGGTAACTGGGCAAAGACCATAGACGCACTACTATTCACGACTTGCTTTAATTTTGGGTCACAGCCCAGGAATGAGTATTAGCCACTTGATCCACCCTGCCACGAGGTTGGTTTATTTCATTTCCATTGAACAAGCTTAACTCCGAGATGGCCAAAACAAAATGCACGTCATTGTGTTTAGCAATAACTGCATGATCATTGTTGACCCAAATCTTGTTACGTACTACGGTATTTGCATTTTTGTAATAAAAAAAGATGCTATAAACTGGCCATTTAGTTTTATATTTTCTTAGACTTGTTTACTCGATAAAACCTCACGATTTTGCTAATTGTAAACCCAATTGAGTTATTTGCAGGAATATTTTCAGCATTGGGATGTTTGCCCTATACTAGTTATAATGTATGTTTTTTTTTTAAGATATGGGAGTAAACCAGAGACTCTCATGCAGAACAGGGAGAGCAAACAAACTCGACACAAAAAGGCACACGAATCAGGAATTGAAACCAGGACCTCTTACTGTCATGCTTAAGCATTATCAATGTTCAACATGTGGGTTTTTACATCCATATTGTGAAGGAAAATTTGCAGCTGCTAAACGTAGCTAGTGTCAGTGAGGTCATTGTTAGAAACGTATGAGCAATGGCCAGACCGAAATATTTTCTGTGCTACGTATGACAATCATTGCACGAATAAAGTGTTCCATGTAGTGAAACATCAGTCTATTCCCACACGGACTATTCAACTTAAGCATTGCTTTCTTTTTCCATTAAATTTTCAAAACATAAGGGTAAAACTGACAAGCTGGTGTCTTAGATATCCCCTTGTACCATATTTGTCATTCACAACACTCTGTATGCATTTCTTTGTTACATTGCTGTGCTGTAATAGTTAGTGAACTGGAGTTACCATCCAGAGGTCGCCCACCTCATCCAAGACGTTTGGTCAGTGTGGAAGAGTAGGCCAAATACCCTCTAGGGGGCTCTCTTGGGCTTTCTCTAATAGAGGCTCTTCCACTGGCAGTTACGTGAGCAAAACAATTGCAGTCCTGCAGATCTATACTTAGACTCTATGCTATTAGAGTTACTGCATATACCCCATATAAGAGTACTGTTTACAGGATATGTATAGCAAATATATAAACATGTGCCACATGTCCTGATGTCCAGGTTTGACCCTGACATCGCAGTAACCGGCGCCTGTGTTCAGGTGGCAGGATTTGATTTGTACTGAGATCAGGTACTATATTGGTATTGGATACTGCAGTCTTGATAGACCTAGGCTGATTGAGATCTTTGTCGAGGTTTGGTCTGCGGAAAAGGTAGAAACCTTCATAGGTATGCATTCAGCCTTGTTATCAGTCACTGAATTTAATCTGTTGTCATTAGTGCTACGTTAGCGTTTAGTAGGACAACAATGATGTAAATCAACCGCTTAATTTACCATGCCCATGTTGAGTCATCATAATGTGTTTAATGCCAACTGAGATACTGTTTTAGACGTACTAACATTTTGGACCTTGGGGTCATGTGTTTGCGAGTGAGATATGGTACACAGTTGCATATCCAACATACTGGGGTCTGGATATGTGAAAAGATTGGATATGTGAACATCTGCAGGTTTTTGAAGCAAACTGCTTCGATTATGGGACCGATGCTTCAGAAGTGACTGGTGAACATCAACAGAAAATGACGTGCACAAGTGCTGCACTGGGTGTGGGCGGTTAATTGGTCAGACCGGGTAAGTGGCGGTCCGATACGTGGCAATGCACTACGTAAAGATGGTCACAAAAATGCAGAGGCGATATGTGGAAGGCAAGCAAGCAGCCTCGAACACAACACATGCATGCCAGCTCACAAGGAACACATGAGGCTGGAGATATTTTTTTAAGACTCTCACACCCAAGACAACTGACTGAATTTGCAACAAATAACCTAAGAAATGCGGTTCATGTACATTAGTCTGTAAATGCCTGCAACGCCTGCACTCGTGAATGATAACACGAGTGCAATATTCTTGCATGGAAGAGATTTGTACGAGGATTACTGCGAAACAATATACACAAGAGGCAAAGTCCCTGAAGAAGAAAATGTTTAACGCACACACGCGCGCAAGCCCCGGCATGTGCTTACACTCCACTAAGCGTTCGGCAAATGTATTCAAGTACAAATCAAACGGAGACTCACCGATGGTCTTATTCTAAAGTATGGCCTTGGAGTAATTTCCCATGCGATGTTGCGAGCATTGTCATGTTCCTCTTTCAGTTCTCGATGGCCAGCGTCGTCTCACGTCTCCGGTCTGTGTCCGAAGGGTCTGAGGTCCTTAATAATAATGATGATGACGAG